GGCCCTGCATTTTAATTTATTTTCCATTTAAAAAGCAAAGAGAGAGAAAGACAGACCTTTAATTTACTCCCTAAATGCCCACAACAGCCAGGGCTGGGCCATACTAAAGACAGAACATAAAAACTTAATCTGGGGCCCGGCGCAGTGGTTAAGGTCCTCACCTTGCACGCCCAGGATCCCATATGGGCACTGGTTCTATCCCGGCAGCCCCGCTTCCCTTCCAGCTCCCTGCCTGTGGCCCAGGAAAGCAGTCGAGGACGGCCCAAGGCTTTGGGACCCTGCACCCGCGTGGGAGACCCAGAAGAATTTCCTGGCTTCGGATCAGCATAGCATCGGCCGTTGCGCTCACTTGGGGAGTGAGTCATCGGACGGAAGATCTTCCTCTCTGTCTCTCCTCTCTATATCCGCCTTTCCAATAAAAAAAACTCAATCTGAATTTCCCACAGGGGTGGCAGGGATCCTGCGACTTGAGGCATTATCTACTGTCTCCCAGGGTTTAAGCCAGCAGGAAGCTGGAATCAAAAGTGGGGCTGGGATTCCAAGCCAGGCAGTTCCACATGGGATGCAGGTTCCCAAGTGACATCTTGACCACCACACCAAATGCCCACCCTCACACTACATCCTTTAATTTCCATTGTAATTAGGTGTACTCATGGGGACAGTGTGGCATTTTAACACATGTATACCATGTGCTACACGCATACATGTGGATTCATGCATACACTGTGATTGGATCAGGATAATAAGTATATGTACTGCTCAGATATATATCATTTGTTCAAAATAAAGCAATCTGATTTTTTTCCATTTTTTAAAAAAGATTTATATTATTATTTCTATTACTGGAAAGTCAGATTTACAGATAGGAGAGACAGAAGAATCTTCTGTCTGGTGGTTCACTCCCCAAGTGAAAAGGTCTAAATTTGGGAACCAGTTCGGACTCATCTGGTTGAACCACTGTTGTGACACAGCATCCCATAATAGTACCTCTCCAATAAATAACTACTTGAGCCGGGCGCGGTAGCCTAGCAGTTAAAGTCCTTGCCTTGCATGTGCGGGGATCTCATATGGTCACTGGTTCCAATCCCAGCAACCCTTGGGACCCTGCACCCGCATGGGAGACCTGGAAGAAGCTCCTGGTTCCTGGCTTCAGATTGGCTCAGCTTCAGCCGTTGCGGTCACTTGGGGAGTGAATCATTGGACAGAAGGTCTCCTCTCTATCTCTCCTCCTCTCTGTATATCTGACTTTGTAACCAATCAATAAATCAATCAATAATGTAAAAAATAACTGCCTTTCAAATAATTAAATAATTTTCAAAAGATTTTGATTATATTTGAAAGACAAAGTTGCAGATAGAGGGAGAGGCAGAGGGAAATCTTTCACCTGCTAGTTCACTCACCCAAAGGCTACCACAGCCTGGGCTGGACCAGGCAGAGGGCAGGAGCCAGCTGCTTCATCCAAGCCTCCCACATGGGTGGCAAGGGCCCAAGGACATCAACTGACTCTTGCTGCTTTCCTGAGTGTTTCAATAGGGAGCTGGACCAGAAGTAGAGAAGGCAGGACTCAAGCCAGTGAGCTGATATAGGAAGCTGGCATGGCAGGTGGTGGTTTAATCAACTGCAGAACAACCCTGGCCCCTAGAGCCATGCCAACACCCCAGAGGACTGCCTCATGCCACTTCCTGCCAATTCCTCTCCCACACTGCGGAGTAGTTGTTATTTTCATTTATCTTAAAAAAGATTTATTTATTTTTATTAGAAAGTCAAATATACAGAAAGGAGGAGAAACAGAGAATGATCTTCCGTCCGATGATTCACTCCCCAAACAGCCGCCACAGTCAAGGCTGAGGCCAATCTGAAACCACAAGCCCAGAGCCTCTTTCAGGTCTCCCACCCAGGTGCAGTCCTTGATTGCTTTCTCAGTCCACAAATAGGGAGCTGGATGAGAAGTGGGGCTGCAGGGATTAGAACCAATGACCATATTCATGCAAGGTGAGGACATTAGGCACTAGGCCACTGCACTGGGACCTATTTCCTTTTTCTTTAATATGTATATTTAATTTATTTGAAAGGCAGAGCAACAGAGAGAGAGAGAGAGAGAGAGAGACCTTCCAGCAGCTGCTTCATGCCTCATATACCTGAAACAGCCAGGGCTGGGCCTGGTCAACTCCAGGAGCCAGGAATGCCACCAAGCTCTCCCACATGGGTGGCAGGGGTCCAGGTACTTGAACCATCTTCCATTTTTTTCCCAGTCCCATTAGCAAGGAATTGGATGAGGAGCAGAACAGCCAGAATGTGAATCATATGGGATGTTGGTAGCTTAACCCAGAGTGTCAAGATGCCAGCCCCATATCTTTTTTATTTTAATATTTATTTGAGAGGTAATAAGATAGGGAAATCTAAATGGATGGACAGACAGGAAACTTCCCCTCTACTGGTTCACTACCCAAATGCCAACTGCAGTCAAACATAATCCAGGTCTCCCACGTGGGTGGGCAGGTGCCAGGAATCCAGTGATTTGGACTGTCACCACTGCCTCCAGTGTCTGCATCGGCAGGAAGCTGAAGGCAGGCTAAACCTAGCTGCTTTGATAAGAAATATGAATGCCTGAACTTTTAGGCCAACTGTCCACTGCTCACCAGCCTGGCTGCGGTTTGGTACTGAAGAGGTCTGGTGGCAGAGAGGGGCAGCTGGGAGACGAGAGTGGTCATCCAGGGAATGCAGGAAGGTTTGGGTGAAGTGGTCATTGGGCAGTCACAGAGACATGAACCAATCAGGAAATGATGTAGAATTGTAGGCAATGGGATTGGCTAATACCATCAGTGAAGGGGCTAGGCGGGGGGCATGGGGAGAGGCATTCAGGGAAATCTAGGTGGATAATTGCTTCAGAGGCAGAACCCGGGAAGATCAAGGGCTCCCAGGTAGCTGTTTGATCTCTGACATCTCCGGAGCTTAAGCTGCTATTAGCGTCTAATGCTAGGTTCCCTGCACCCCATATCTTCCTGGAAATGACATTGGTTGTGGGAATCTGCATGCTGTCTACAGCAGACAGACCTGGTCAGGGTACCAGATTTGCTCCTTTCTTCTGTCTCACCCTAAGTTAGAATGTAAAGGATCTCATATTTATGCAACCTGGAAACAATAGCATCCACTCTGCTCAGTTCCAGGTCCTCTGGGAAGCATCCTGTGATGCTTTTTTCCCAACACCTTGCCAAAGTCATTCCAGAAGAGCTCTGTGGGGGGGCCCTGAGCAATGCTGCAAGGCCATCTCCTCTCCTGTTGCTTGCCCCGTCCCCAACCTCAAAGAAACAGAATGGAGAACAGCAGGTGGGTTGATCCATGGGCTTTATCAGCTTTCCCCCCAGCCGGAAATGTCGGCAAAGACAACCTGTACAACACACACAGTGCACTCTGGTAAAGTTTCAGAGGCAAAGGATGGGGTGAAGAGGGGGGCCAAGGAGGCAGCGGGATAGTGCTTCAAGGCTGGGGGCACGCAGTAGCCAAGACCGGGCTGGCAGGTTACAAGATTCAAGGAGGTTTAGGAGAGTAGGAGTGAGAAGCAATAAAGTGCTGTGAGGGGTCAGAACCAAGGGCAGAACATCTGGAGCTGCTGGGAGAGATGGTGCACCTGCAGGCACGCAGAAAAGAGCAGGAGGGCACCAGGCTTGCTGGAAGGGCTGTACCCAGACTGCTTTTTTTTTTGGCCACAGGAACCAGACTGCTGTATAAAAGGGACTGTACAAGGTACCCTATGATACAATTTTTTTTTTTTACATATAATACAAGGCTCTTTCCCTCTTTGAGGTTTAAAAAATAAATGTACAATTCCAGAGCTTTGGATACAAAATATATACAACCCTCAGAATGGAGCCTCAGTTGCTGCTGCTGCTGCCGCTTTCAGAGGGAAAGAGACGGTGCCAGGAAGGAAGGTGAGGCTGGGCCAGGAACCTCACCTAGGAGCTGCTGCTGGGGAGCCCCTGCACCTCAACCCTAGAGGCCCACGATGGGAGCAGGAGGGGAGACTGCGAGGTAACCAAGCCCTGGTCAGAGTCCAGTGTTCTTCAGGGTCTCTCCCATCCGCCCCCCACTGCGGTGGTGTGTATATGGGTGGTGGGCTGTCCCAGGTGCATGGGTCCACCCCTTTCCCACTCCTTAGGGAGGGCCAAGGGGGAGTGTGAGAAGGGGCAGGTACAGTAACCACATTGCTGACATTGGACATAAATGTACAACTCTCTCCCTCAAAAAAATAGGAGGGCAACAGGTACCCCAAATCCTTGTACTGCTGCACCCCTCCTCCCTTTTCCCTCCCCACCAGGCAGAGGGAGGGTCCTCCAGGCAGCTTCAGCCTATGCTTCCCTGAGCATCTTTTACCCACTCAGGGACCTTCAGGAGGCCTGAGGGGGGGACTCGCAAGGGCTGATGGGTAGCCCCTCCCACCTGCTGTTTGCTCTGTGCCCTGGGGAGCAGCCTGCCCCACAAGACTGGGTATGTGGGGCAGCAGGAGCCCAGCAGGGAGGGATGGGGCTGCGGGGGGAGGAAGGGCATGGGAGGCAAGGGTAGCACCGAACAGAAGGAACTCTCTCCCCACAAGCTCACACAGCACGCACCCTCAGGTACCAGAAGCTCCGTACAAGGACACACCACACACACATATACACACATCACACACATGGTTACACAGTATTCCAGGGGCTCCCAGCCCTGGCCAGTGCTCAGGTCTCAAACAGTGCTGTTCTGAGAGACAGAGCCTGGATTGTCCTTCTAGCTGATAGTCCTTTGAGGGAGGGGACAGAGGAAGGGGGTGTGTGGCACCTCCCTCAGGGAGGGCTGGAGTCAGCAAGTGTGGGGTGGGCCTGGCAGAGGCAGGCCACCCAGATCCAAAGCCCTCAGCAGGGATCTGGGGGCAGGTGGTTCATCCAGCCAGCTAGTCCCACAGGGATGGGACTGCGTGTGCCAGGTGCCCATGGAGCCCGCTGGGAGCCCACACAGCATCTCGGGCCTCACTGACTATTAGTCTCCAGCTTGTAGGAGAGCTCGAAGAGAAGGTTCTGGTTGTCTATCACCTGGAACTGGCGCACATAGGCTTTGGTCTGCAGGTGATGGGGGGAAGCTTCCATGTCCAGGCCTGGGGGCAGGGAGAAAGAGGCCGTTAGGTCCCTGGCCACCCTGTTTCCCCTGTAAACCCTCTGAGCAAGGGCCTGGGCTGCAAAAGGTTAGGCTGGAGAGCCTCCAGGAGGCCAAGGGGAGAAGAAGGAAGTCCACGCAGGGAGAACTCTCCCTTACTCCACACCCTATCCTTCCACCCTCGCCAGGCCCACCTTCCCCATAACTCACAGAGGGGCCGGCTCCGGTATCTGCGGATTGTCCTTACTTTTTCGGCCACTGAGTGCTGGCAGATGAAAAGGAACGGGTTGATTTTATCCCCTGCAGCCCCAGTTGCGAAAGGACCCAGGGAGAAGGTGGAATGGGGTGCCAGGTGCACAGGCAGGTGAAGCTGCCCCCAGTGGCCTGTCGGCGTTGCCACCGTGGGTGGATGGGGTGCCACACAGATGCCACCAGGAAGGGGGCAGGAAGGGCAGTTTGGCAAACTGGCCACCCTGGAGGCAGGCTGCTACTTATCGGGGAGGGGCAACCTCTCCCCCCCAGGACGAGGCCCACTCACCAGCTTCTCCACATTCACCAAACCGTCCACGAGGGTCTTACTGCCCTCGTGCAGAAAGGTCAGGTCTAGTGGATGGAGACAGAGCCAAAGGTAAGAGAGGCGGCCATGTCTCCCCCCGACACCCTAGGCCCTCTCCTCCCCCACCCTGGAGCACATGCAGGGGCTGGATGGAAAGGGGGTTCTGGGTGTGGGAGGATGGTGTGAGCCAAAGGTGGTATGTCTGGGAGCCCTGGGAGCCTTGGTCTCACCTTTGAGGATCAGAGGCACAAAGGGAATGACAGGTGGCTTCATCTTGGAGATGACTTCTCGGTAGCTTTTGTGGTTCCGGCAGGGGTCCTGGCATTCCACAGGGCATGGGTCAAGGAGCAGGTAGGCATCCTGCATCCCAGGATGTTCCCCATTCCCTCCCTCCTCCTGGCCCCACACAGGAGTGTGGACAAGGGTGTGGACAGGGGTGCGGTGGGGAAGGCTTGCCAAGATAGTAATCCTTCCACTGGAGGCTGGGAAGGGGAGCAGGCTCCCCCCAGGCACTTACAGAGGAAGCTAATAGGTCAGTGTGTGTGTGTGTGTGTGTGTGTGTGAGAGAGAGAGAGAGAGAGAAAGTGAGAGAGAGAGAGAAAGAGTCAGAGTCCAAAGCCACTCACCGTGAGGTTCTCGAATTTGCGGAACAAGTTCTTGAATTTCCCTGGCAGCTTCTGCAGGGGGTGGGAAGAAGGGGAAAGCCTGTCAGAGTGGGGTCCCTAGAGCAAGGGCCTGTGTATCTGGGAGGGGCTGGGGGGTGAGGCTGGCAGGTGGCAAGGCAGTCTGACCTTGGCCCTTGGCAGGAAGAAGCCCATTGGAACGAATTCCTCCCCGGCAACCCAGATCTTTCCAGATCTCAGGGAAGGCAGGCGTAGCTCAGCTACCTGCAGGCACGCCTGCCACCTGGGCAGGAGCCCCCTGCGCCCAGCTCTTTCCCCACAGAGGCAGGATCGCCCCCCTCCTCTAGAAGGGCAGCTGCCAGAAAAGGGAGACTCTCTTGCCTGAGGCAGTCCCAGGAGATCCCCGAAGTGCCAGGGGGAAGACAGGACAGAGAGCAGGCCCCCCCCTCACCTCCCAGGTGAGTCGCAAGCGGCTGACGGCAGCATTGTCCAGCCCCATGACCACCGCATAGAAGGAGAGCAGGTCCTGGTTCTGCTTGCAGCTGCGAGGGCGGGAGAAGGCATCAGGCAGGTGGCTTTGGCGAAGGCCCTCCCCGCCTCCGCCTCGTGGCCGTCCTCCCCACGCTCCCCACGCACTCACATGGCGGCAATCTTAATGAACTTCTTGAGCAGCTGAGCGCGCTTGCCTGGGGCCTCGCAAAGCAGCACCTCAGTGGCCACCCAGTGCGCGACCTCGCTGCAGCGCTGCAGCAGCAGCTCCAGGTTAGCTGTCTCCCGGCGGCCGCGCTCCCCATGGAACACATAGTCCACGAACTCCAGCTACAGCCGAGGTGGAGGTCAACGAGGGTGCGCGGTGGGTGGGAACACGGCGGCGCAGAGCCGGGAGGAGAGCCAGGCGGGGACAGGATGCAACGGAGAACAGCCAGCATGAATGATCTTCTCTTCCTCCCGGGAGGAGGCAGGCATCGCTAGAGCCTCAAGGCAACCTTCTGGCCCACAGCATTTCTACTGCCTTCTTTGTATTTTCTTAATAGTGAGTACTTGCGCCCAGCATGGTGAAGACACAATCCTCTGTGGGCTGACCCTGAGCCAGGTCCTGTGTAAAGAGCACTCTGCCCCCAAAGCCCTTTGCCATGTTTTTCAGAAGAGCAACCGAGGCTCAGAGGTCAAGGCTGGCTGTGCATTGGTCACAGGCGTGCCCCTGAGGAACCTTCTAACGTCCCCACAGTTACCGCATCCACTGGAGTATTTCTTCCTCCAGCCCCTTCATCCCCACTCTCTCTCCCACAGCACCTGCCTCCCTCTGTCCCCACCTCGTGCACACAGCGGAACAGCTCCCAGTGGAAGGCAGTCAGGTGGTTGGCAACATCCTCGGGCTCCAGCCGGTGGATCTCTGTCTCTCCAGGGGACCCCTGGATCTCTTCGGGGAGGGGAACCTGGTGGCAGGCAGGGTCTCAGGGGTGAGAGATCGTACAGAGCAGCCCCCACCCTCAGCTCTTGCTTACCAGGGCCTCATAGCTGTCCCGGGTACAGGCAAACAGGTGACTGTTGATGCCCAGCGTGGTAAAGACACAGTCCTCAGTGGGCTGGAGGAGGACTTTTTCTGCAGGAGAGCCGGCTGCTCAGTGGCTGTGCTGGCACCTGCACCGCCCCCTCCGCACCCTCAGCCAGCACAGCCAGAAATTCTGAGTCCAGTCCTCACACCTTGAAATGAGGGGGACTCGGGTGATCCCCATGTGTCATGTGTGCCTGAGGTATCTGGAATTTGTCCAAGGAGGATTTCTTTTGCATTTGTAACTCTTTTTTAAAAAGGCTTATTTTTTATTGGAAAGGCAGATTTACAGAAAAGAGAGACAGAAAGAAAGATCTATCCACTGGTTCATTTCCCAAATGGCTGCAATGGCTGGAGCTGAGCAGATCTAAAGCCAGGAGCTTCTTCCAGGCTTCCCATGTGAGTTCAGGGTCCCAAGGCTTTGGGCCATCTTCCACTGCTTTCCCTGGCCACAAGCAGGGAGCTGGATGTCAAATGGAGCAGCCAGGACACAAACTAGTGCCCATATGGGATCCCAGCAGTCACAAGGTAAGGATTTTGCTACTAGGCCACTGAGCTGGGCACAACATTTTCTTTAGCCACCAATATTTTTACACAGCTTTTTCTCATTCTATCATCCCTGGGTCATGGAAAAGGCAGGACTTTTTTGTCTTTCCACAGGGATTTCAGGCCTGCTCAGTGTCTTTAACTTGAAAAATGCAGCCTTGTGGCACAAGAGGTCAAGCCACTGCCTGGGATGCCTGCAATGCAGCAACTCCACTTCTGATTCAGCTTCCTGCTAACACCTACAAAGGGAACACAAGATGGCCAAGTGCTTGGGCCTCTGTTAGCCATGTGAGAGACAGGGTAGAGTTCCCTGGTTCCCAGCTTCGATTTGGCCCAGCCCTGGTCATTGCAGCCAATGAGGGAGTGAGCCAGTGAATACAAAATCTTTGTGTCTCCATGTCTTTGTGTCCCTCTGCTTTTTGAATAAATTAATCTAGAAAGGAAGGAAGAAAGGAAGGAAGGAAGGAAAGAAGGAAGGAAGAAAGAAAGAAAGAAAGAAAAAAGAAAAGCAAGCAAAACAAGGAAGGAAGACAAAGAATGAAAGAAGCAAAAGAAGGAAGGAAGGAAGAAAAGAAAGAAGGAAGGAAGAAAGAAAACCAGTGTCTTACGTGTTGGAAGATTGTAAGCCAGTCCCCTCCCCAGGAGGGTGAGGCAGCATTGAGCTTAGGACCAGTGTTTCCTGAAGTACAGCGTGCATAGAAATCCTTCAAGAGCCTTGTTCAAACTCAGGTTGTGCTCTAACAGGTGCAGTGTGTGGATCAGAGATGCTGTGTTTTTAACAAGCTACCAGTTGTTGCACCTGAGGGCCACACTTGGCGTAGCAAGGGCCTAGAATTCAGCCTTTATCCAAAATGCTGGGCTTGTGAGCTTGTCTCCTTTGGCCACACAATGGCCACCCCTACTCCACCCAGGCCAGCTCTTCCTGATCCTCACCTCCCGAGGAGGCCACGGCTACCAGGATGAGGGACTCCTCTCGCTCTGTGGGCTCATCTGAGTACTGCAGCTTTTCCGTCACGGAGCCCAGGATGTCCTGTACGGAGGCTGAGAGGCGGCTGCGGATGGTCACGTAAGAGTGGTCAGGCATGTAGACCCGGCAAAAAACTGGGCAGGGACAGGAAAGTGGCTTTTCAACAGAGGACAGGGTGGACGTACCAGTGCAGTCCCCTGCAACCTGCTTCTGCTCCTCACCAGGACGACCACCCAGGAGACCCCACCGGGGGTGCCCAAGACCCCCTCCAGGACACTTCCATATGTCCCCCTGCCCTATGCCAATCAGAAAGCCCTTCCCCTCTTCATGCCCACACTCACTCTCATCAGAGCCCCGGAAAGCCACTCGGGTCTGCAGACAGGAGTCTATCCGGCGGAAGTGACGGAAGAGGGGCTTCACCTGCTTGCTGGGTGGCTGGCTGTCCTCTGAAACCCTGGCATGGACACAGCCGGGTATCAGCACGCCCTGCCAAGTAGGCATGGCACCAGGCAGGTGACATCAAGCAGGAACCTTGGAACTGGGTCAAAGATACAGCTCCAGTTTCAGAAGGGAGTTAAAAGGGGTCACAAGAGCATTGGCCAGCGTGGGACAAAGTCTAAGTGACCCACACCAAATGCCACCTTTCCCATGAATTTCGCTCTGACACTCTCTTTCTTGCTAGCAAATATCACTCTATTGCCTCAATTGTTGTAGAACTTTGGGTAGTATGTGCCCATATTCCTGTCTTCTCAGGCACAAGAATATTGGAAGACTGGGATTGGTTCTTACTGAATTTGTTTTTTCAGCATCCATGACCCACAGTGCTGGACACATGGTAAGTGGTAGGTCATGAGTTGTTTGTTGAATTTTGCTAACGAGGATCTCACAGTCTGAGAGGGAGACAGATACATACATAGCTACATCTAACACAAGGCAGGAGGTGTTGGTGATCCAGCAAAGGAGCGAGGAGGTGATGCTGATGTTGGGGAAGGACAAAGTTATCCCTAAAAGGGGAGTTCTGGGAAATTTTCATTGGAAAAGATGGCACTTGACCTGGACCTTGAAGGATGGCAAGAAGAAAGAGGGTGGACCATTGGAGCAGAACCAGCAGCAAGATGCTGGAGATGCAGAAGAGATGCGAGGGGAGGGGGCAGGCAGGCAGGAAGTGTCATAGGTGGGGTGGGCAAGGACTGGGGAAGTTCAGCAGAAGACAGAGAGGGAAGAAAAGATGAACTTGGCAGTGGGCAGCATGGATGGAAGCTCTGGGAACAGGAATGTGATGGTGTCGCTTAGGCAAGTTTGCAAGATCTCTCTCCTGGCAGCCCAGAGAAGAGAAAGGAGAAAAGCATACAGGACCCCAAGCTGGAGCCATGACTGAGGCTGTGACCATGACACTTCAGGGGAGTCATGAGGCCTACATGAAGGTTCTGGCAATGGGCACAGGGAGGAAGGAAACAATTCGGGTAGAAGGGATAGATTGGTGAGTGGAATGATGGGGTGATGGATGGATGGATGGATGCAGTGAAGGAGGGGTGGATGGATGGAGGGAGGATGGAAGGGAGTGGTGAATGAATGGAGGGAGGGATAGTTGGATGGATGGAGGGAGTGAGGGATGGATAGATGGATGGACAGAGGGAGGGATGAATGAATGGAAGGAGTGATGGACAGATGGAAGGAGGGATGAGCAGATCCAAAGATGCACTGGTGTCCTGAGGCCAGTTCACATTGGCTCATAATGTGGGAATTTTGCCAACTATTTCTTAAAATATAACCATGCCAAAAATTTTGTTTTATAGACTTATGGTCAAATAGATTCTTATGGAAGAATATTTTTCCTAATCATTTTCCTGTTCTCTGTGTTCTTGAGGCTACTTCGAGCATCATATATGTATGGTGGAAATCCAGGTTAACAGCTCAGTACTGCACATCCCTTCCTGACTCCACATTCAGTAATGTCATCCTGGTTGCCTGAAATCAGCTACTGGGAGAGTTTACAGCTCGGCTGTCAGCAGAAGCTACACCTCAGGGCTCTTTTTCTCACAGTGCTGGGTGTTAAATATTTACTAGGACACCAATGGATTGCCAGACATGCGAAGAGCAGAATGGAAAAAAAAAAAAAAAGACAAACGACACAGTGCTTCATGTCACCCTTCCATAAAAAAAAGGGGCTGAAATATAAGCACATTGCAGCCAGTAGGCCAGAGGCACCCTGGGTAATAACAGAATACTGGGGGCATTCCCCTCTTGTTCCCTCCCTCAACCCATTCCTCCTCACTTTAACTCCACTGTCTCCACGAGCTGGTGTAGCCTCAGAGTATCCTCTCGGAGGTCCTGGTAAAGAGACTCGTCCTTCATAATCAGCAGGTACAGATCCTGAGCAGAGGAGGGCAGAGAAAATGACAGTAGGGATCGGGACAGGATCTCTCCCTGTCTTGGAGCCTGAAAGAGCCACATCAGCCAAGTCCCCCTGGCATCTTTTTCTTCCAAGGAGGTGATCAGTTTGAGAAGGATAGCTGCTTCCAAAGGCCTCCCTCCTGTGCTCCACTACTTCCAGGGCTTGTTCTCCCACCACTTCTCTTCCCCCAGGCTCACCTTTATGATGTGGCCAGCCCCCTCTTCCTCTTGCAGCAGACCCTGGTAGGTGTCCAAGAAATGGAGAAGCATAGCTAGGCAGGCCTGTTTCTGGCCCAGCCCCTCACGACCCTCCATGGCGCCTGCCTGAACAAAGCTGACCCGTAAGTTAAGAAAAAGTGTTGGCAGGTGACAGATAGACCTGAAGGAGAAGGAAGATAGGTGAAACTGCCCCTAAACATTCTTGAGATCTGCAATCAGGAAAATCACTTCAGGGGTCCCGGAGCAGAGACTTGCTCCTGTCCTGGCTCAGGTTGCAAGGACAACCCCCTCAATCCCTTCCAGTCCTGCCTGGGGAACTCTGCCAGAATCTACCTAACCTCTGGCCGACCCATACAGCCTGGACTTCCGCTGTGGAACTGTAAAAGGTTGATGGAGCTGACAACAACCCTGACTCCATCTCGCCCTAAGGTCTGATGTTTCTACAAGAGCCTGTGGCACTCTCCTCCATGGTCTGCCTTTTACAGGGAGTTCCCAAAATAACTGCGAGAGGCCCTGGGCTTCTAGGAGACCCTATGAATAGCCCAGACAGTGGCCTGAGTGAAGCACAGCTGTGACTTGATGTTCATATCAGACCCTGGAATGACTTCCTGGGCAAGCAGATGTGCAGAGCCATCATTGGGTAGGGAGACACGTGCCCTTGATGGCCTCTCAGCACCTTACGTTTGCACAGAACCCTGCAGTTCAAGAGCCTTCTCACATCCTCTCTTGGGTTCCTCAAGGCAGTTCCAGTGGTAGGACAGGGGCTATTCCCTCCGCTTTTAAATGGAAACTGAGGCCCCAGGAGGTCAGGTGACAGGAGCAGAGGAAGTGAATGCTTTCTAGAGAAGCGCCAAAGCTCTGGTGTCCCCTGTGGGGCACAGAAGATGGACTCCCTCCCCCTTGCACCTACCCACCAAAGGATATTACTGGTGTAGCTCCTGCAGAAATTTCTCCGTGGGGAGGAAGAGCGAGTGAGTGAGGACAATGTCATCCAGCAGGATATCTGCGGAGACCAATGGCACCATTATGCACGTCAGAAGCCCCCTTTCAGGGCCACACATGGGAAGCTCTGCCTCACAGGGTGAGCTCTCTGTAGCCAGGCCAGAGTGCCAGCCACCTGCCCTGTCACGCACGGCACACGCATGCGCACACACGCACACACGTGCATGCGCATGTGTGAGAGTTCTGGGCAGCCGCTGCGGGGGTGGGGTTGACAGCTGCCAAGGCAGCTGGAGGGAGAGGGGCCGCTTTTGATGGCCAAGAGCACTTGCCTTCAGGATCTGTGGGAAGTTGGTCTGACAACCTCCCACACTTGTGAAATCTGCCTGAAAAAGGTGGCCCATAGAATGAGGCCTCTAGACAAAGACAAACTTGCAAACACTGTGGTTAGGGTCAGCATGCATGCATGTGTGTGTATGTGCATGTGCACATGTGTGCCTATCCACGCGTGTCCCTTCTTCCTCCTCTCCTTACTCCCTACCTAACATGCAGGTGGGATTGGAGCCCCCATTAAAAGGGAGTGACTGTCAACTCTTTGATCCCCAAAATCTGGAAATAGAAGCCCTGGGTCCTGTGGGTACCCAGACGTGGAAGGGTTAATGATGGCACTGCAGAGGGGAGGGCATTCACTCATCTTCCCTTTCCCCTCCACACCCCTGTCTGGGCCTGGCTTAGCTAGTCAGCCAGGTACAAGGTCGCCCTGACTTGCAGCCAGCCCTGGGGTGGGGCAGGGCTGCCTGGCACACAGAGACAGGCAGGGCACAGGGGGAGTGAGCCAGCCAGGTGGCTTCCCCAGGACAGGTTAGGGCCAGGTCTCCAGGCGCATGCTGCTCCAGGAGAAACCCAGGGCTCCTGACTGCACTTAGCTCCACACCATCCCCCTACCCTGACCCAGCTGCCAACTCTAGGCATAAACTAGCCATAAAAGTGGAAGGGGAAGGAGAAGCCATTCAGGAGTGACCTATGTCAATTATTTCATTTCACAAGTGAGAAACAGCCTGGAGCTGGGAGGCACCTGGCTGGAGACGGACTGCACACCTGGGCGCCTGCATCTTTGTACTTCCCTCAAGGTGCTAGGGTACACACCAGCAAGCAGCAGGGGCCTGCTGGAGCCTTAGAGAGGCTTTGGCTGGGATGGCACCCTCTCTTCCCACATACCCTGGACAAAACCAAGGTGGCTTGAGAACAGGGAGAATGGGACTGGGGGGTAAGTGTGGCAGGTCAGGATGGGTGGCATTCACTCTGGGACTGGTTTGAGGTCCCCCCAAACCAGTTACTCTGGGGATTTTGCTTGCCAGGCCAGATAATAAGGGTGATGATGAATTCAGGAATCTTACCCCAGGGGAGATTGAGCAGCCTGTGGCTCCAAGCCCCCAGAGAAGTGGGGAGAGGATGAACAGCGCCCCCCTTGCCCCACCATTCCTCTCTTTGCTCAGCTACACTGCTGAGTTCTTCAAGTGAGTCAGGGAGCTTCTAGCCCTGACCCTCCCCCCCCCCCCGCAACCCCCAGATCCGGGGATGGGGACTGGGAACAGGATGCCTGCCATCCTTTCTAGAACATTTTCTCTCCTAGGAGGAGAGAGAAGCCGAGCAGAGGAAGAGGAACATGGGGCAGAGTGGGGGAGAGGCTGCTATGGGGGCTACAGTTTGGCATCTGTTTCTCCCAAGGCAGGCTCTGGTCCAACGCACAGCCTCCCTGGGGAATGTGTCATAGAGACATGGGGTGTGTGGCGTAGGCGGCAAGTTATGGTTAGGAGAGCTCTGTGTGTGTGTGTCTGATATTTTTTCTAATTAAATCCAAAAGGTGTCAGCTCCCCCAGGGCAACTCCAGCCTGCCCAAGGGACAGGGCCTAGGTCCTGGGAAAACTCCTGGAGTGTAATGCCCTACTCCTCACACTTGGGCTGTGGTTCCCCATAGATGTCTGAGGGCAAAGTGGGGGACCACCCATCTTTAGGGTCCTGCCTCAGACACACACACACACACACACACACACACACACACACACACACACACACACACACCCTGGGCTTAGTGCAATGCCTGGAGCTAGATCTGAAGATTCTAGGTCTTAGGTACGAATCTGGGGCCTCGGTTCCTCCAAGGCCCTTCCTTTAGCAGGGATGCTGGTGGCAAGTGTTGAGAGAGCATCCGCGTTGAGGGATTCATCCTCTTAGGGTGTGGCAATTATTTTTTAAACAGGCCTGCACCCACCAGAAAGGTAGCATTCAGAGAAGTTACACCCCTCTGGTCACTCTTTCCCTCATTGACAGCTGAGTCCCCCAGGAGGTGAACCCCCCCATCACTCCCTCAAACTGCTAAGGACAATGGCATCACACTGCTGCTCAACCCCAAAAGGCAACCAGGGTCCCTCCCCCTCCACACCCTCCACTGAGCCAGCCCAGGTTCTGGGGCTTATGGGAAGAGTTGGGGACTCCAGATGGGGTTCTCAGGCTGGGCCACCCCTGCAGGGTGGCACAGGCTGGGCTACGCGGCTTCCATCTTAGTATGTCAGGCCCTAATTCTGGGTCACAGGAGGAGGTAGTCAACATCAGAGAGCCACGGGAGCCTGGGGCTGAGAGGTCCAAGGGGCAGGGGAGAGTGGTTCCGCGGCTTCTCCCTCAACAGGGAGGTAGGTGGGTGGCACAACGGCCACCTCCCCAGCCTCCGCCATGGGGTTATCAGCTAGGTCCACTCGAGCCCAGGCTCCGGCACAGCACCACCCCGGCTCTCCAAGGGCAAGGCAGAGGAACCCCGGGCAAACCCTCTGCTCCCCGGCCCACTCCTTACCTGAAGCGCCGCTGTCCCTGGTGGCCCCTCCGGCCAGCCGCTCCAGAACCCGGTGCAGAAGATGCTCAGGCCGCTCGGGGGCGCCCAGGGGGGCCCAGGGCGGCGGAGTTAGGGGCTCGCCGGGGGACAGCTCATCTGAGGAGTACGAGGACGGGGAACGCAGGGGACCCCCGCCCCCGAGCGAGCCCGGCCCCGACACCTCCTCGAGCTGCAGCCAACAGGGTCCCCCGCTGCCCGGTTCCTCCGTGACCCCCGCCAGTTCGGCTGCTTCCTCCTCCGTTGGTGGATCCAACCCCGGTTCGGCCGGGGGCTCCCTGAGGAAAGCTGGGAGCAGCAGACGCGACACGCTCTGCCGCCGCTGCAGTGGCCGCGGTCCCCCAACCAGACTGCTGCCCCCGCCGGGTCCCCCACCTCCTCCGGGCCCGCTGCAGCTCCCTAGACCCCCGCCGGGACCTCCCGACACCGTTCGCCCTGCCAGTTGCGATGTCTGTTTCTTCAAAAATTTCTCCAGTGGCTTCATGCCACCCCCCCGCCCGCCCCTCTAATAGGGGCCGCCGGGGGACCCAGGTGTCCCGGGCGCGGGCGGGGGGGGCGGAGACACGATGCTCAGAGCCAGAGGAACAGCTCCGAGGGCCGTGCCAAGCGCCGGACTGGGGGTGGGGGTGGGGGTCAGAGGTGCCCGAGGCTCTCTGGCCTAAGGCCAGTAGCCAGTGGCCGTGGCTGGTGCCAGAGGGGAGGAGCGCCTGCTCTCAGCAGCCCCCCATGTCGCCGTGGCCAGCCGAAGGGTTGGCAGGCTGAGGGGCCGGTGTCCCCGGCTCTGCCTTTCTGGGCCGGGCTGCGGCGGCAAAGGCAGCTCGAGCAGCGCAAGGCTGAGAGGACGCGGCGGCGGCGGCAACGGCGGCTGCGCTCCTGGCCCCGGGGAAGGTGGCAGAATGCAGACCGCGCCCCCTCCCCGGGTCTCCGCCCAGTCTCCGCCCCGTCCCTTCCTGGGCCCGCCCTCCGGGCCGCGCGAGGCTTGAACTTGGGCGCCGGTGGCTGACCGCGAAGGAAACCTTAAAGGGCTTGGGGTGGGTCACAAAAATGAAGGGTCTAAGTGAGGGAGTGACTTAACCAACGGAGAGAGTGTTCCTTGCTCCGGGGATTCCTGGGTCGATTAGCCTCATTTCAAAGAATCGGGACAGGTCTTGTGGTCTGCACAACTACCTCGGCTACCTGTACCAGGTGAGGCCTACAAAATCTGTTGGACCCCAAGAGTGTGCACCTTTGTGAGGAGGGCTGAGAGAGCCTCTTGGGTGCACTGGCACTGGGCGCGGTGCCCATCTGCCCTCTCGGGTAGAGCTCAATGGGTGGTGCCAGCCTGGCCTGTGAGGCAGGTACTGACAGGCAGGGAGGAGCCAGGTAGGGCACAGCAGGTTGTAGCAGGTCTGCCTGGGGTGAGAAGAGATAGTGGGCAGGGAGGAGACCAGAAGAGCACTTGAGCCCAGTTGACAGCAGAAGCAAACAGGGTCATGGGGATGGTAAGTCCCAGAACTGCCAACATCACTGAGCCCAGACTGTACGCAGTCATGGAGTGCGAGAAGTGGTGCCAAATGAGCATTCCACAGATTCCTCTTGATTCCTGGGTCATGGGCCTTCTGTCCTTAAGGGCACTGCCCCAGAGAAGAGCACACTTGCAGTGTGAACACACCCGATGAGGCTTACAAGCAGAGGGAGTGGCACCCGGTTCTGGATGGGTTGTGGCCCCTTGGATAGGGCCCCACCCCTGTTTACTGCGCCCCAGCCAGGCAAGCACAGGAATGCTAATGGCTTGGGAGTGGTGGTGGAACTGAACAGGGTGTGTTACGCATGTGTCACTGTGTGTGCATGCCTGGTCACGTGTGTGCTAGAGCATGTGTTCACAGAAATAAGGCTTTGCACACCCATCTGTTTGTGGGTCTGTAGAGGGTACAGTAAAAAGAACGCAATTCTGGTTAAGGAGCTGGATTAAAGGTCTAGGCACAAGCTTCCAGGGCTCCCTTTACTGAACACTAGCCCTTGTTGGGTGGGGAAGGTGGGAGAGGGAGGGACACTGGCTGAAGTGGCTTGGAACTCTCCAGATAGCATTTTATGAACCAAATGGGAAGAGAGGAAGAGTTTCTCGCCCAGCACATGCCACAGTTACCAGATTAAGCTGGTTGCCTTGGTAACCTCCTCTCAGAGTAGGATTTGGGATTGTTGGTTAGGAAGGGCGAATTGGGGAGTGTGGAGGATGTGCGGGCTGGAAACAAAATGGGCTGACAGACTTTTTGTGAACTACAATCTGGGTAACACAGCCCAAGCACTCTTCCAACTACTTGAGAGCATCAGACAGGGACTAAGACCCTGAATGAAATAATGGAGCCAGCATCAAGTCACAGTCCTTGCAGAGGAGAGCTTTCCACTCTACTACACGCTAGAATCACACAGAAGCTCCAGCGATCCCCAGGCACACTCAGGGTCACAGATTGCTGAGGTAGGGCCAAGGCCACTTATGTGTTTTGTTTTTTTTTTTTTAATTTTTCTTGGTTTTATCCAGGTCTCCCACATGGGTACAGAGGTCCAATACTTGGACCACCCTTCACTGCCTTCCCAGGTCCACTAGCCGGGAGCTGCACTGCAGTGGAGCATCTGGGTCTTGAACTGGTGCCCCTATCAAATGCCAGTACTGCCAAGAGGCAGCTTAAACTCACTGTGCCACAGCAATGGCCCCTTGTATTTATGAACCAGTGTAATTTTGAACCAGATGATTCAAATAATCAAGGCTCAAAAGTCACTGCCCAGACAACCCGAGAGGGCCCTACAAATGCTTGGATGACTTTGGGATTTTCCAACCTTGCTTTTTAAGTTACTGCCGATATGATAAAGACTTTGTGTTGATTTCAAGGGTGGGGGGAGGAAGGGTGGCAAGGTATTTGCATACTACAAAGGGAAGGAGAGGAAGGCAGAGTGGTATGGGTAACTATGGGCAGATGGGGCCTTCAACAGCTTGAGACCATCTCCATGGGTTTCTAGAAGGGGGACTGGCAGGCTCCCTGAGGTTCGTCTGCCCCTCAAACTCTCCCACTTCTTTCTGCCCATCAGGAGGCAGGCTGAGAGGGCAGGGAACCTGGGGGCTTTGCTGAGCTCCAGTTTCTTCTTGCTGAGTCAGTTACCAGGGCAACAGAGACAGCAATGGGACCTAGCTGCAGGACTAGAGCAGGAGGCAGGGGTGAGGGGAAGCATCCTAACACTTTCATTCCTCCTGCCAGGAACAGCCTCAAGGCTGGCTGGCATTCTCTGCTTGACCCCAGGCAGTCAGGTCTGCAACTCCATCGCCCTGTAGGGGTAGAAGGGAAGCAAACTGACAAGATTTCTAAGGAAAAGTTACGGTCCTATAGCTGTAGCAGCAACTAAGGCTGTGGGGAGCCCATCTGTCAGTTTATGATGTGTCTTTTTCTGTGAGGATTTCTGTTGAACTCAAGAAGAATCAAAGTGAGATTCCCTAGTAAGTTCAACTGCTCACCTTGATTCAAGTAGAGCCTCCATGGTAAACTTTCATCCCACTCAACCATAAGCAAGGAGCTTGGTTAGCTGGTGGTTGACGTGCTCATTCCACACTGGAGTGCCTGCTTTGAGTCCCAGCTACAGTAGATGATGGCCCAAATACTTGAGCCCCTACCACTCATGTGGGATAGCCAGTGGAGTTTCTGACACCAACATTTGTCTAGACCCAGGCTTGGGTGCTAGTGTATTTTGGAGTGAACTAGAAGATGGAAGCACTCTCCATGGCACTTTTAAATAAACAAAGGGATGAGAACAGGCAATTCAAGGAGATGTCGTATTCCCTATTAGGTGCCCAATTTGAGTCCTGTCTTCATATCCTGCTCTTTTCAAAATATTTAACCTTAGTATATGTAATACAACTTTTAAAAAAAAAGATTTGTTTTTATTGGAAGGCAGACCGATTTATGAAGAGGAGACAAAGATCTTCCATCTGATGGGTCTCTCTCCATGTGGTCCAAGTGGCCAGAGCTGAGCTGATCCAAAGCCAGGAGTCAGGAGCTTCTTCTGAGTCTCTCGCATGGTTGTAGGGTCCCAAAGCCATGGGCCATCCTGTTGCTTTCCCAGGCAATAAACAGCTGGATGGGAAGGGGAGTGGCCTGGACATGAGCTGACACATATATGGGATCCCAGTGGTTGCAGGGTGAGGATTTAGCTAGTTGAGCCATTATGCAGGTCTCATATTCTGCACTTTCAATTCATCTTTCTTCTAATGTGCTTGGGAACCAACTGATGATGGTCTAAATACCTGCATCCTTGTCATCCATAACAGAAACCCAGTTCCTGGCTTTGTCCTGGTTCAGTTGAGTATTTGAGGATCAAACCAGGAGATGGAAGAGGCTCTCAAAAAAAAAAAATTTTTTTTTTAAAAAGACATCTACCTAGGGACCCGGCATGGTGGCCTAGCGGCTAAAACTCCTTGCCTTGAATGCACCAGGATCCTGGCAGCCCCGCTTCCCATGCAGCTCCCTGCTTGTATCCTGGGAAGCAGTAGAGGATGGCCCAAAGCCTTGGGACCCTGCACCACTGTGAGGAGACCTGGAGGAAGTTCCTGGCTTCTGGCTTTGGATCGGCACAGCACCGGCTGTTGTGGTCACTTGGGGAGTTAACCATCAGGTAGAAGATCTTCCTCTCTGTATATCTGCCTTTCCAATAAAAATAAATAAATCCTTAAAATCTACTGGGCCTGGTGTAACAGCCTAGCAGTTAAATCTTCACCTTGCATGCACTAGGATTTCATGTGGGCATTGGTTCTAATCCCAGCTGCTCCACTTCCCATTCAGCTCCCTGCTTCTAGCCTGGGAAGGCAGTAGAGAACAGACCCAAGCCTTGGGACTCTGCATCCGCATGGGAGAACTCAAAGTTCCTCCTTCTGGCTTCGCATTGGAGAAGCTACAGCTATTGGTACCATTTCAGAAGTGAATCAGTGGATAGATCTGTCTCTCCTTCTGTCAATCTAACTTTCCAATAAAAATAAATCTTTTAAAAAGTTATTCAAAACTGAGAACTGCCCTTCATGAATGGACATAGGACCCTGCAGTGGGTGGCCTTTTGATTTTCCTTTCCTTTAGCTGTACTAACAGGAAGCTATCACTTTGACTCCAGTCCTTAACACCCTAGCAACTTTTAGATATTAAAATCAATATTAGGGCCCGGCAGCGTGGCCTAATGGCTAAGATCCTTGCCTTGAACACGCCGGGATCCCATATGGTCGCTGTTTCTAATCCCAGCAGCTCCACCTCCTCTCTCTCCTCCTCTCTGTATATGTGACTTTGTAATAAAAATAAACGAAAAAAAAAATTTCAATATTAAAAACACTTAGGGAGAGGGATAAACACAAAGCTCTTCCATCTGCTGGTTCGCTTCCCATATGGCTCCAGCAGCCAGAGACAGGCTAAGCCAAAACCAGAGGCCAGGAGCTTCATCTAAGTCTCTAACAGGACTGGCCGAGCCTCAACACCTGGGCCATCTGCTGCAGGTCTCCCCAGGCCGTTAGAAGGGAGCAGGATCAGCAGAGAGGCCAAACAGAAACCAGCACTCATGAGATACCATGACAGTAGGTTTGGCTTTTACTACATCACCCTGACAGTCCTGGCATCTTTACTTTTTTTCCAATTTAAAAAAATCATTTATTGTCATTGGAAAATTAGATGGACATAGAGAGGAGGACACAAAAGCTCTTCCATCCAAAGATTCATTCCCCAAGTGGCCACAACAGCTGGAACTGAGCCGGCCAGGAGCCAGGAGCCTCTTCTGGGTCTCCCATGTGTGTGCAGGATTCCAAGGTTTTGGGCCTTCCTCCACTGACTTCCCAGACCACAAGGAGATCTGGAAGGGAAGTGGAACAGCCAGGACATGAATGTATGCCAAATGGGATCCCGGTACATGCAAGGCAAAGGCTTTAGTCACTAGGCTACTGCACCAGGCTTGGACCTTTATTTTTTTTTTTTTAAAGATTTATTTTTATTATTTTTTCATTGGAAAGGCATATATACAGAGAGGAGAGACAGAGAGGAAGATCTTCCATCCGATGATTCACTCCCCAAGTGAGCGCAACAGGCCGATACTATGCCGATCCGAAGCCAGGAGCCTCTTTCCGGGTCTCCCACGTGGGTGCAGGTTCCCAAAGCTTTGGGCCGTCCTCGACTGCTTTCCCAGGCCACAGGCAGGGAGCTGGAAGGGAAGTGGGGCTGCCGGGATTAGAACCGGCGCCCATATGGGATCCCGGGCGTGCAAGGCGAGGACTTAACCACTTGCGCCACCGCGCCGGGCCCGGACCTTTATTTTTTAAGAAGGATCTGTGCCACGTGACAATTCTGAGGTGGTTTGAGATATGACTGTGACTTTGTAAGGATTTAGGGAATCCTCCTTTCCACCCAAATAAACACTCAAGAACATACTGGCAAAAAAAAAAAAAAAAAAAAAATTTGTAGTCTAAATTTTATTATCTCCAAGTCACAATGCAGATCATAAATGTGCACCCTTCAAAACTGTAACAACAAAAAAACCACAACAACACATAGGGAGAAATCCTTGCAACTGAACACAGTGGACCAACAGAGACAACTGTCACAGTGTCATAAGGTCTGGGGATCTGGGCATGCTGCCCACAGGCTTGAGGAGACATCTTCAGGTTTAAGGCAAAGGGAAGCCTACAAAAGGCACAATCACCAGCTACCCCTAGGAGAATATAGTTTCCTCCTGGTGGTGGTGGTAAGGCGGGGAGTTACAGCTTTAAGTGTCCCTCCCGCCCCCCACCCCACACCTGTGACTCTGCTGGAGGAAAAGAGTAACAACAGACAGTGACACTATTGGGGAAGAGATACAGACATCAAGGACAGTGGCCAAAACACCCCAGGCAGACACAAGTGGTCCAGTCACAGGAATCTTTTCTGTAGAGGCAGCAGGGGAGTGGTTCAGTGCCATGGACAGGAGGGAGCCCTAGCCCAGGTGGTGACTGGCTTCCTTAAACCTTAAAGCCCAGGTGTAGTACTTGCTTACAAGATCAGGAGCACATCTAGGACATGTGTAGCAGGAAAGACATGGAGAAGAGCAAAGAATGGCAATGGACAAGATAAGTTACTTGCTGGGTAATATTTGCCTCTCAGAGAGATGCACTGGTCCACAGCAACTTGAAAGGGGATGCAGGACAAAAGAGAAGCAGGGCCCTCTGATCTCACTTACCTCCAAGATGGAGCCCTGAGCACTGTGCAAACAGATACCCCTAAAGTGCAAAGGTTCACCCCGCCCTCTCTTGCTTACAAATGCATCTGGCTGGTCATCTCCCACAGTACAGACTTTGCCCTAAACAGAGGACCAAAGCCCACCAGATTACAGGTACTAACAGAGGCTCAGACTTGTAGAAAAACTAAGCCAAAAAGAAAGGGTCCTACTCACTCCCTCTGAGCTTTCTTGACCATGGGATGCACTATATAGACAACTTTGCTTATATGGGGTTAGAGGAGCTAAAAATCCAAGTTTACAAGTGAACAGCCAAGGCTAAAAAAAAAAAACAAAAAACAAAAAAAAACGCCAGCTGAGATTTGGGAAAGCCTGGCTGATTTGTTCTCCATTATCTGGGCTGCAGGGAAGAATTAAAAAGGAGCCTGAAGCGGTAAGCAAACCAGAACAAATTTGGTTCATTTGCAGGGAAGAAAAAGAGAGCAACAGACAAGCAAAACAACCTAAAGAAATAGAATATTAACTTAAGAACAGCAAGCTAGACTTTAAAAATGAATATATCCGAAAACAAAACAAAACAAAACAAAAACAGGAAGGAACTTCCCTGGGAACAGAAGACACTTGAATTTCCCAGGACAAAGTCAAGCAGAAAGATGTGGAGTTCTGGATGTAGACTCGGAAGCCTGGGCTGCCTGGATCTCCGCTCCCCTGAGTACAGCCGCCTCAAGTAAAGAGCGCAGGTGGGAGGAAGTCCATCGTTTCTCCCCCTCTCCAATGAGCCTGTCCTCAGAGGAAGGCGTGGGTCTTCCTCCTTCAGCTGTCGCTGGTAGGAGCCACCCTGTACTTTGGTAGCCCACCTGGAGTGGACAGCCAGTTGTATTTCTCTTCTGAGTTCTCACCTTTATGTTCTGACAGGGTGTGAGAAAAGGGAACAATCGCTGAAATGTTAGTGGATCTTGAGATTATTTACAAACTGTTTTCAAAAGTATGATATCTCTAAACAAAACACTACTACCACCCCACCAAAACAAAAATAAAAATGCCCGACAAAAACACCACCACCTCCACACACAATCTCCCCTCCCCCGCCAATACAAACAAAATCAACCCAAACCAGACCAAATGAAATACCCCCAAAAACCTCTTATATGGGTTTTAGAACTGGTCCTTTGCGCTGCCAAAGTTAGACTGCCCTTTTCCTTCATCAAGCTTAGACTACACTTCAGTACTTCTTCCTTGACACTTTCCAAATGAAATCATCAGGTTAACAAGGGTTTCTATTTCAACTCTGCCTAATGCACCTGTCACTCCTTAAGCCTCCTGAGTGGTCCCATGGTTATAGCTTCAAACAGTAATTGATTTTGTTTTTTGATTAAACACGTAAGCAAAAGCACTGGTTTTGAGGAGTTGTGTACTTACTTTTATATGATGTTAGTTTTAAAATATTCAGAAACTTAATATTAACTGGAACCCCTGCTTACAACCTGAAATAATAAAAGTTGAAATTTGTTATCAGGCTATATAAAAGATCTTTTTTTCCCCCTGTAGAAACACACTAAGAAAATGAAAGCACACCAATGCCGTATGTTCCTAAAGTACAGGGAGGAGCTCTCATACCTCAGGTGGAGGGGGCTTGATGGTGACGGGCTGGGGGGTTCTCCGTGGTGGGGAGGGCTTTGGCTGCACCTGTTGCTGGGCTGGGTTATAGTAGGTCACTCCCCCATACACCTGTGATGGGGCCTGGAGGCCCACAAGTCAAAAGAAATAGGAATTAATTCATTTAACTCATGATGAACAGGAAATATTCAGCCACAGAAATAAAAGCAGTGGAAAATTCACACTTTTTTAAATCTCTCAGATGCCCCCTAAAAAATAAAGTGACTATTATTTCTGTCTTAAAGTGTCATTATTATACTGTGGTTCCTACTTCTTCAATGTATACCCATCCCCTAGCCTTTTCTGATTCTTATCATCTGCTGACAAATGAAAAGGCTGAGCCCAGTGGTGACACTCCAGACAGCAAGTGGTAGTAACCCGCCAGGAGTCCAGCAGGACACAGGTAGGCCTGGTAATGAGCAGGAAACAGCTTCTCTCTCCAGCTGAACGAACAGCAGATGTGATCGCCTACGATGCACCAAAAACACTTGACTAACATCATTTAAAAACCCCAAGAGAATAAACAGATGATGGGCACTATATGACTGCATTTCCAGCTCCTGACCACCAAGAGGCATCCCAGCTCCACATACAAATCAGTGCCCCTGAAAAGCTCTTTCAAATCCCTTCAGCCTTCTCCCAATCCATATTGCTATCTGATTAGAACAATCTGCTCCTTAGATGTCTTACCTGCGTATTAGGATACAGATGAGGAGGAGGTGGTGGAGGGGGCAGTGCCCCTGGAGCATAAGGATAACTGGGATTACCAAAGTTCATGACCCCTGGGGCAGAAAAGTAAGTGGGAGCAAGCAACTGTTGAGGCGGTGGCTGTCCTGGAGACATGGACACTGGTGGGGGATAGAGGCCCGGATTGGGCAGAGGCGCTGGTGTCTGGTGGGGATGTAAACCTAGGCGAGGAGAAAACAGAAAGTAAAAAAAAAAAAAGTTATTTTCAAGGGATGGCCAGGCTAGACTGTTGAACAGACTGAGATCGAAGTTCTCAGGATGGACCCAAGAGGAGTTTGCTGCTCAAGTAGCCAGGGCGAGAACCATTAGTGAGTGGCAGATATCTCAAGAAGGTAGAGTTTGTGGAACCCCAACACCCCTCCTTATATAACACAAGAATACAGACAGAGCTGCAAGGCTCACCTGGGTGGGGAAGGTGCATTTCTGGCTGCACAATCATGCCTTGTGGAGGCAGTGGGGCAGGGCTGTCACCATGGGTATAGATTGGTCCCTGGAACTGCACTGTAAAATATCACATTAAGAGTCTCGTAACCCTCACTTCACAAATGCACATTTTTTCTTTACCTCCACACCCTTAAAAGATGCTCAATTTATATGTACAACAAACAAACAAAAAACAAAAACAGCAACCAGATAATCTTAGTTCATTTCACCTTGCCTAGAGTTAGCCCAACAATAAGAAAAATCTCACGTGGGTCATAGTAATGTCCTTCCATGATGCTGATGTGCACAGGGGGAGCAGGGGGCTCTGGAACAGGTCTCTGTCTCTGAGATGAATACCGTTTGGCTCGACCACCCTGAACACCCTGCGAGACAAAGAGAGAGGCCTAAAAAAGAGACACCTACCAGAGGGCTGACGTTCAAGAGCTACCCTCCATTAGGTGCTACAAAACACCTGCTACCCAACAGACTTCTATTACTTATTTGCATCATGTACTTGCAAAATGCAAAATTTATGAAAAGCATTAATATTTGAACTTAAACTTTCTATCCTATCTTTCTGAGATGGAAATTTAAGCAAGAAAGATTGATGGAAAGACTAACTTTAAGATTTTCTCATTTTCAGTGTACAAGTTGTTAACTATAAGCCCCCTCTGTATCCCTGTTTGCCTTTTCATACCATTTCTTCCATCCGGTTAAACTGAGGTGGAGGTCCTGCTCCCATGTGTATGTGGTTGGGCATACCTGTAATATAAAAAAGTCAGTGCTGAAGAACAGACATATGTGAGTGCTACTCAAAGATGCCATCAAGAACACGACAGGCGGGAGCCTACATGGGGAATGTCTTTCCTCTTTTCCTTTTAAAGTATCAGGGCTGAACTGAGCTGGGCTGAGGATGGGGGCCAGGAGTTCCTGCCAGGGCTCCCATATGGCTGCAGGAATCCAAACATGTGGACCATCCTTTGATGCTTGCCCAGCTGTCTTACTGGAGCACCAGGGTCTGACACTCAATCCAGGTCTTCCAACTTAATACCAATGTAGAATCAGGAAGACATCAGTGTGGCTCAATTAACTGCATTCCTATACACATGTGGCAAACCTAGACTGAGTTACTGAGTTCCAGCTTTGTCCCAACCCAACCCCAGCCATTCAAGTAAGCAAAAAAAAAAATAATAATAAAACAAAAACAACTTATAAAAATTCACCTATATCAAAATTACCAAACCTAGACTTTATCTGGTTTGGGGAAAACAAAGCCAGTCGGGTAAAAGAGGTGACAGGCCCTATTGGTCTACTTTCTAGAATTAGGCTGACCAATATGATACTCATTCAATATGATACTCATTAACCATATGTGCTATTTTCAATAATAAAAATTCTAAGTTCAGTTCACCCCTTTAGCCTCATTTAAAAAAAAAAAAAAGATTTATTTTATTTACTTGAAAGGCAGAGTTACAGAGGATGCAAACAGAGAGGGACCCTCTATCTACTGATTCACCATCAAATGGCTGCAATGGCTAGGAGTCAGCTAAACCAAAGCCAGGACTCTGGAGATTCACCTTGGCCTCCCATGAGTGTCGGGACGCAAGAACCTGGATCATCTTTTGATGCTTTCTCAGCACTTCAGCAGGGAGTTGATCACAAGATATATATTATCATTTTAACTTGAAAGGCAGAGGTAGAAAGAGTTCTTCCATCTGCTGGTTCACAATCTATACAGGGCTGGCCCACAAGTTCAGAAGCCAGGAGCTAGGAAGCAATCTGGGTCTCCCATGTGGGTGGCAGAAACTCAAACACTTGCACCATCATCTGCTGCTTCCAAGGCTGTTACATAAGCAGGAAGCTGGAGCAGGCACAGAGCAGCTCGGCCCTCTATCCAGCCAGCCTCTCTGATTCTGAAGTTCTGTATCTATGGATTTAGCCAGCCACACATAAACAAAGGCTTGAGAAGGTGAGCACTATGATTCAGCAGGTGAAACTGCCACCTGGGATGCCCTAAATCCCATACTAGAATGCTGGTTCATGTCCCGGTAAACGTGCTTCTGACCCAGCCTCCTAATACAATGCTGTGGATGATGCTTCCAGAACCCGGGCCCTGCTACCCTCCCAGGAGACCTGACCCAGGTCACGACTCCAAGACTATTGTGGTCATTTCAGAAAAGAACCAGCAGATGAAAGATAGCACTCTCTTCTCTCTACATTTCACTAAATATCTTAAATAACCTTTAAGTGATTTAAAGTATAAGGGAGAATTTGCGTGGTTTATATGGAAGGACAGCATTTTATGTAAGGGACTTTAGCATTCACAGATTTTGAAATACACGATGGTCCTGGGACTGTATCTAAAAGCACCATCATCACACAAAGTCTGGTGGATAGTCTGCCTCCGTAAGATTAGGAAAACTGGAGAGGTTTGTTTTCAAACAGGTTAGAAAAGACCCCAATCCAAATTCAAATGTCTAGGTTTCTGCCTTCAAAGATTTAATTATTAGCTTAAATAAGAATATTGTCTTCTTCCATTCTAGAGCAGAAAAGGAAGGTTAAAAATTATCAATTAAAAAAAATTACCAGTTAATAGTAGGCAAAGTAGGGTCTAGCGCGGTAACCTAATAATCAAAGTCCTGCGTTGCATGCGCTGGAATCCCATATGGGCGCCAGTTCTAATCCCAACAGCCCTGTTTCCCATCCAGCTCCCTGCTCATGGCCTGGGAAGACAGTCAAGGAAGGCCCAAAGCCTTGGGTCCCTACACCAGCGTGGGAGACTCGGAAGAGGCTCCAGGCTCCTGGCTTTAGATTAATTCAGGTCTGGCTGTTGCAGCCACTTGGGGAATGAATCAATGGGCGGAGGATCTTCCTCTGTGTCTCTCCTCCTCTCAGTGTGTCTGACTTTCCAATAAAAATAAAGTAAAATTTAAAAAGTAGGCAAAGTAGCAGCACAGTAATTAGTAACTAAACAAACTACTGTGAAGACTGGTTATTTGTCTGATAACAAATCCCTGAGAAATTCAAGACCCATGCTCCTCAACCCAAGGCCGCAAAGGGAAACAAGCTGCCACCGTCCCAGAGACACGCACCTCGAAGCTCCCGGGGCGGCACGAATGAAGGCTGGCCTGGATTCCAACTCTGCTCTGCTATATTTAATTGTGCTACATCTTGTTCCAGTCCGCTGGTAGAATCCACGGGAGCCTCCCAGTTTCCAGTCTTAGCAGGTGGAGGAGGGGTGGTCTCTGGAACTGCAGGAGCTGGGGGCAGCCCTTCAGGTGGAGGGGGCACCTCCTCTGCAATTTTGCCAGCATCTCCTACTTTGGTGCGGGTTCTTCTCGCCCGGGAGTAGGATTTCTTCTCGACAGGTCTGTCAGGAGCCGGTGGTACAGGTTCAGGAGCCGTGGCTGGTGTCTCAGAGGCTGCCTCCTCCTTCTCAGGACCACCAAGCTCTGGGGTATCTGCTTCGGGAGACGGATCCCTCACGGGAGTCTGCTCCAGGCGCCGGGACCGGTAACCAGTTTCATGCTTAGCAGTCTCACCAGACCGGCCTCCATGCTGCCCCCCAGCCTCCATAGGCCGAAAGCCAGCACGACCTTCTTTGAAGCCCCCAGATCGAGAGTAATTCCTGGGTGCAGACATGCGGCCAGTACCTGCAGCGTTCCTGTTAATAAATGTCCTTGGCGGTAGAGTGCCCCCAGGACCTTGGTGGCGGTGGGACTTATTGGACCGCTCACCAATCCAGTTTGGATCTCTTTGCGGAGGGCTTCCATATCTAGTAAAAATGGAACAGAGAGACTGCTATGAAAAAAAACAACAAAAGGGATCATGAGCGATACAAACTAGTCAGGAAGCATTCCCATAGCTCTCTCCCACTCACTGGCTAGAAAGACATTCAGGAAAACAACGGAATTCTTTCTAAAACACAATATTTATGGCTCCAAAATGTCCTCACCTGGGTTTCCGGATTCTTCGAGGTTTAATGTCATCAGGGTTATGAGCTGAGCGGATATCATAGCCATAAAGAGCAATGAGCTCCTGGCGGGACTTCGGGGCCTGCTCATCTTCCCGAAACTTGTCATGCTCCCAGCGGCCCTCATCCTTCCATAGCTTCCGCTGACGCCCCTTGGGTCTAGACAAAACCAAGGAAAAGTGACTTAGGTTTGCAGTGTCTGTGAAGCAGATGGTTGTGAAACAAATGGGTTCAGGCAGGGAGATGGTAGGAACTTCATGTAGGCTGTGCACATGCCTCAGCAGATGACACAAGAGTAAATGGCAACACCTCAGGGCCTGTTCAAATGTAACAGGAATAGAAATGAGGGGACTTCACTTGAAGCTACTCAGTGGCTCTGAAACTTCACTTTCTTCAAAGGCAGCCTATGCAATTACCTTGTATCCTAGAGGATCTGAGCTCCTGATGCAGAAAATCAGGAGAATGAGAACCAAGAACACAAAGACAGCCTGCCCTCTGCAGGTGCGGACCTCTACCCCTCTATCCAAGGTTCCCAAACGGAATATTCTAAACCTCACTTTCCTCCTTTGTATAATAAGGATAATTGTAACACTTAGATTCAATCTGTTCATCAAGTGAAAACAACACAGTTCAAGCAAAGTACTCAGTAAAGTATGTGGCTACGGTGAGCCCTAAACATCCGCTCAGCAGCAGCAGCAGCAGCAGCAGCAGCAGCAGCAGCAGCAAGCGGATGTTACCTGACTTCTTCCTCCTGAGTTTGGCCTCGAAGATCATGCTCAAAGAAGAGCCCTTTCCGGGGTATGTACGCTGGATTCTTCCTGTCTTCATCATCATCCAAATGCTTGGGACCCTTTTTACCCATTTTATTCTCCACAGGCTCTGTGCTCTCCTGGAGGACAGACAGAGGGCTCCTTACTCCTCACTCCTTCACGGCTGAGTGTCCTTATTGCAGCCCCCAGAACGGAGGACCCTGCTGGGTACTGACCTGTCCATCCCCACTTTGCCTCTCTCCAGTCACAGTGCCTTTGGTGTCATGCTTGTCTTCCCCCTTCTCTTCTTTTGTTGAATTAACAGCATCATTAGCTTCTGACTTCAACTCCACTTTGGAGTTTTCCTCTTCACTGTATTCCTCTTCACCCTGAAGAAAGGTTTCAGAAAATAAGATCTCAATGATGGATTTTTATTTCCCATTCTTCATCTGCCGATAAACAACTCTTTACAACCCAAGAATTAAAAGCAGGGCTGGCAGAGTGATGCGATGTAAGACTGTTTATTGCCTGCTATGCCGGCATCCCCTGGGATGGAGACCCAGATATTCCACTCTGATTCAACTCCCTCTGATGTGCCTGGAAAGCAGAAGATGGCCCAGGGATTTGGACCCCTGCCATCCAAATACGAGAACTGGACACAGCTCCAGGTTCCTGACTTTAGCAGGGACATCAACAGCTGTAGCTATTTGAGGAATGAACCAATGGATGGAAGATCTTTGTCATTCTGACATACACATAAAAGCATCTTTAGAAAAAAAAAATATGGGCCCGGTGTGATAGAGTAGTTGTCAAAGTCCTCGCCTTGCATGTGCCAGAACCCCATATGGTCACTAGTTCTAATCTTGGTGGACCTGCTTCCCATTTAGCTCCCTACTTGAAAGCAGTCGAGGACAGCCCAAAGCTTTGGGACCCTGCACCCGAGTGGGAGACCCGGAAGAGCTCCTGGCTCCTGGCTTCGGATTGGCTCAGTTCCAGCCGTTGCGCTCACTTGGGGAGTGAACCATCGGATGGAAGATCTTCCTCTCTGTCTCTCCTCCCCTCTGTATATCCGGCTTTCCAATAAAAATAAATCTTAAAAAAAAAAAATGAGGCTATTGACTCTTTCTACCCTAATCAACTATGTTAAGATTATCAAAATAAAACAATAAATTAAAAAAATTTAAAGCAAACATGCCACAGCAGGCATTTGGCCTAGCGGCTAAGATGTTGACTGGGCTGCTCACATCCCTGGATTCAACACCCGTCTGCTGCTCCTGGTTCCAGCTTCCTTTCAAGGCAAACCCTGGCCGGCAGCAATCCTGACAAACTGTAGATTTCCTGCCACCCATGTGGGAGACCTGGACTAAGTTTTTGGCTTCCAGCTTCACCCCCAATCCAGTCCCAGCTGTTGCAGGTATTTGGGAAGCAAACTTTCATACAGTCTTAGAATAAAGGAAAAAACCTACATGTTTACTGAGAAATAAGATTAGGTAGGCTCTATGTCATCAACAAACCTGAGCTTCTCAGTCAAAAGGATTTCACCTGCATCACTAGAACCTCTCAGACCCATTCACATCTCATCAATCTTACTATTGGGCCCTTCTTTCCTTTTATATTTTTATTGGAAAGGCAGATTTACAGAGAAGGAGAGACAGAGAAAGATCTGTCTACTGGTTCATTCCCCACCAAGTGGTCACAATGGCTAGAGTTGAGTCGATCCAAAGCCAAGAGCTTCTTCCTGTTCTCCCACAGGTACAGGGTCCCAAAGCTTTGGCCTGTCCTCCACTGCACTCCCAAGCTACAAGCAGAGAGCTGGAAGGGAAGTGCAGCAAACAGCACGGACCAGCTCCCGTATGGGATCCCAGTGCATGCAAGGTGAGGATTTTAGCCACTATACTACCATGCACTCTGTCCCCAAATCAATCTTTAAAATAACAAATAAATAAAATTGAAATCTACTCCTAGATTTAAAACATTCTTATGCTTTTTCACTTACTTAGAACAAAATCCAAACAGTTGTGTGTGTCTTCCTTCTTATTATAGAAGCAGAGAGGCAGGGGAAGAGACAGAACACTCCCCACTGACTGATGCACTCCCCAAACACCCGCAACAGTCCCAGTTCCAACTCTAATCGTTTATTTGAAAAGTGGACAGAGCCCCAGAGAGAGAGAGTTCAAGAGAAAGCACACTTCCATCTGCTGACTCACTCCCAAAAGGCCACCAAAGCAGTAAGGGACAGGCTGATGCTAGGAACTCCCCCCTGGTTTCCCATATGAGTGGCAGAGGCCCATTTACTTGGGTCCTTACCTGCTGACTTCCAGGCTCAGGAGCCAGGAGGTGGCTTGGAAGTGGAGCAGCTGGGGAAGAAACTACATTTCTATATGGAGTGGTAGTGTCACAAGTTGCAGTTTAACCACACCACCATTTCCTGCCCCAATTACTTAAGCCATCACCTCTACCCTGGTCCCAAGATCTGTACTGCCAGGAAGCTAAAATCAAGAGCAGGAGCTAGAAATCCAATCCAGACACTCCAAAGCAGGATGCAAACACCTTAACCAACCTAACACACTGTAACCTTGCTTATGAGGTACTTTTGAGATCTGGCTTCAGCTCATCTGTCAGTACTTCATTTCTTATGCTCTAGTCATATTAAACATTTTACACATGGCTTGGGCCCCTGCACTCATGTAGGAGACCCAGATGAAGCTCCTGGCTTTTGAGTGGCTCAGCTATGGCAACTGCAACCATTTTGGGAGTGAACCAAGAGATGAAAGACTTCATTTTCTCTGTGTATAGCTTTCAAATAAAATCAAGTAAATAAAAAAAAAAATTCACATATGGGTGGGTATCACTCTGAGATGCCTCATCCCAAAATAAAGTGCTGGTTTGAGTCCTGGCTGCTCCACTTGCCTACCCAGCTTCCTGATAATGTGCCTAGGAAAGCGGCAGATGAAGCCTTAAGTACCTGGGGCCTAGTCACCCACATGGGCGATAGGGCTCTTGGCTCCAACCTGGCCCCAGTTCTTGGGAGATGAACAGATGAAAGATGTGCTTCTGCCTCTGTCTCGTCTCTAACAATATCTTTCAGATAAATAAATTTTTAATCATTTCACATCTTTCCAAGTCATTATGCAACCCATGCCTTCAAGATCTTCTTTTCACATTGTGCTTCCTCTGCTTAGGTAACTATATGGTCACGTCATACTCATTCTTTCAGCCCTCCATTTATATAAACATCTTGTTTCCTAAATGTTGTGGCATAGCAAGTTAAGCAACTGTTTGTGATGCTAGCACTGGTTCATCTCCCAGCTGTTCACTTTTAATCCAGTTTCCCGCTTCTGTGCCTGAGAAAAGTAGCAGATATAGCACAAGTAGTTGGACCGAGCTGGAGTTGCCAGGTGCAGTTAGCTATTAGGACTGGAGAATGTGCCAGAGGATGAAAAAAAAATCTCTGCCTTTCAAAAGAGTAATCCATTAAAACAAACAAAAAATACAAACATAAATACTCTAAATCAAATTAGTTTCCCCTGCTATGATTCCTAAATCACTGTATAACTCCAGTACTAAGACACTTTTCAAACATTATTGCAATTACTTGCTTAACTACCTCTTGCCCTCTCCAACCCAGAATGTGAACTCCACAGAGGAAGAACCGTAGGTTTTTTTATCCAGTGCCCATTATAAACCTGGCACTGAGCAGGTACGAAAGAGAAATAACAGGTAAGTCCCTTTACAATACAACCCCTGCTACCAGTCTGCCTTATTTCTTTTTCTTTCTTTCTTTTTAAAAGCTCTATTTTTATTGCAAAGTCAGATATACAGAGGAGGAGAAACAGAGGACCGATGATTCACTCCCCAAACAGCTATAATGGTCAGAGCTGAGCTGATTTGAAGCCAGGAGCCAGGAGCTTCTCCCAGGTCTCCCAAGTAGGTGCAGGGTCCTAAGGTATTGGGCTGTCTTCAACTGCTTTCTCAGGCCATAAACAAGGAGCTAGATGGGAAGGGGACTACCTGGATTAGAACAGGTGCTCATTTAGGATCCCAGTGCATGCAAGGTGAGGACTTTAGCCACTAGGCTACCACACCAGGCCCCCTCTTTTCTTTTTTTATTATTTATTTACTTTTATTGGAAGGCAGATTTACAGAAAGAAAAAGATCTTCCATCAACTTGTGATGCATTCTAGAGGCCAGAACAGCCCAGAGCTGAACTTGGATTGCAAAGCCAAGAGTCAGGAACTTCTTCCAGGTCTTCTATGCGCGTACAGGGTCCCGAGGCTTTGGGGTCATCCTCTATTGCTTTCCCAGGCCACAAGCAGGGAGCTGGACAGAAGTGGAGCAGCTGGGACATGAACCAGTGCCCATATGGAATCCTGGCACTTGCCAATGAGAGGATTTAGCCACGAGTTTGTTGTGCTGAGCCCAAATCTGCCTTCAATTCTGGCACCCAGCCTGTCCCAACAACCCCAAATTCCCTGCAGTCCTCTCGTGCTCCATCTCACTTCCTATGTCCTGGCTTTCTTGTCTGCTGTTCCTTTCTTCCAGAACATGTTTTACTTAGTTAACTCTTACTCTTTCCTGACTGTGCAATTTGGTTTCAGTACCCAGCCACACTTAATCTGGTGAAAAACGCAACAGTCATCACCAAGCTGCAAGAGCTACTCAGATGTCTTATTTTGACTTTGAGCTGCAAGGACTCAATAGTCTAGGATGCAATATGGCCATACATAATGCTTACAAGGAAAACTTCTGTCTGACAATCCAATTCTCCCCGTATCCCCATCAGATATCCTAACGAGCCAGGATGCCACTCAACAACAAGCCACCATTCTGCTGACATCTTTTCGTTGACCTAATCAAAACAAGCACACTAAAGTCTCCCTTCACGAAACTTTCTCCTACACAGTCCAACTATCCAATGAGGGCTACTTTTAAAACAAGGTACAATCCTACCCTTCAAAACTTTCAGAATCTGGGAAGGGGAGTAAAAAAAAAATCCAGCCTGTTGGCTTGTCAAGTTCAGGAGCAGGAAATGACCTGCTCTCTCTGTGTGAAGAACTTGCAGAATGTCCTCAATCTCTCAGAAGCTTATTTTCCTTAAATATGGAGAAGAGACAACAGCGCTGTGTCCAAGCTGCCCTCACTGCTACTGAACGAGACGTGCTGTAACACTTTCTAGAGCAATATCAGTGAGGAAAGGCACAAGGGAAGAAACACGTAGGTTGTGTGAGTTTTACATGATGGATACGTACATTTTAAACACACATTTTCTGCCTAAATCATAGGAAAAAGAACCCGTCACACTCACTTCTGAGTCTTCAGCACTTTCATAATCTGAGAGAACAGCTGAAAAGAAAAGTGAAACATATGAGGATGGAGGCGGGTGGGGGGGGAGCAATTTACAATCTACGATTACATTTTCTCACTGCTTATTGTGAGTCAAGGTAAAGCTAATTCCCTAACATTAACCCATGATGGGGATAAAATTACAGTCCCCAGTTACCGTTGGGGAAACATTTGGGGAGTGACTTCCCCAAGAAGCAGCACACACACACACACATAGCTGATCTGATGCTCCAGCCCCTTTGAGAGAGTCGCCCCATCGGTTCTTCCTGCAAACCCAGGCCAGGATGAGCTTAGACACACACACACACACTGCTAAACCGATGCTCCAGCTCCTCCATTGATAGATTCCTCCCACGGGCTCCTCCTACAAACCCAGGCCAGGGTGAGCTGAGTCAACTGTTAGATGACCCGCGCTTATGTGAGAACACTCGACCCGGCCAGGTCAAAGCCGCTACTCACCATCGCCCTCGATGCCATCTTCACTCTCCTGAAGGAAACCAGAGGACATGGGTTAGCGCTGTGATTTCCAGGGATGGGTGTCTTAAGACTCAACACAAAATGGTTCGATCGGAAGATGGGGAAAGGACAATCTTGCAGCCAACAGCATCGGGAGGAGGTGCAGCTTCTGCACCCGCAGCCCCAACGCGTGAATAAACCTGCCCTCGCTCCTCGCAGCAGCCCCTCTGGCCTCCCCAGGCTCCGAGGACACGCAAGCCCGGCTGCCCGGCCCCCGCCCCCGCCGCGCGCACTCACACACTCCGACTCCTCGGCGCTCTGGGCGCCCCCGCTCTCCACCCGCCGCAGATGCAGGGCCCCGGCTCGGCCGCCGCGCTGCGAAGGCAGGGAGCCGCTGCCGCTGCCGCTGCCGCTGCCGCCGCCGCCGCCGCGCGCCGGGGAGCCGCCGCTGTCCGAGCCCGAAGCCCCCGACTCCTCATCCTCCGTGTCCTGCGAGGCGCGCTGCCGCCGCCGGTCCGCCATCTTACACAGAACGGCCGCCGCCGGCCAGCTCCCGACGCACCACGCCCGTCGCACAGGCTGCCGGGAAGCCTGAGCAGCAGTCCCGGCATGCTCGACAGGTCCCGTCGCGGGCGGGGCGGGGCAGGGGGCGGGGCCTGCGCCCTGCGGCACGGCTGCGGATGGTGACGTCACCGGCGCCGCGAGGGGGCGTGGTCCGGCCATCTTAGGCTGTCGGGGTTCGTGGTTTGCTTTTTTCATGTCTAGCTGCATTCGTTTGCTTGGTAAAATCCGCAATAAGCAACCACTCTAGAGCTACATCAGGCTTGTCACACCAGCGCACTTTTAGGGAAAGGGCCAAGGAGAAACCGATCGTCCGCAGTCAAGCCAGAGGATGTTCGTGTTGCATTTCTCCTCTGTCATTTTTTCTTCCCCCTCCCAAAACAGAGGGTGGCAGAATGTTGTCTTATCAGGATTCTACAACTGGATTGACAAGATAAGCAGATATTGGCTTAAAGTCCTGACAAGATTCCCTTCTCGTTCAGGGTTACTAGAAGAAAATGGCTTGATTTGGCAAGGCCATGAAAGAAATCGGTGTATTTTCTTCGGATCTTAAGTCAGATATACAAGATGTCATTAGTGCATCTACGGGGTTGTACATCAGTAAGTGCAGATAAACGTCACTACAAAGCACAGGATTCTGCACTGTAATTTTTTCGTAGGTGCTATCCATGGTTAAGGATCCTGATGCTGATCAAGTTTAAAATTTCAACCTAGAGTTCTGAAAGCCCTGGAATTGAATCAAGACCCAATAATTTCAGGACTTCTGAGTCCAACTTCAGAAACTAACCGCCTCAGTTCAAAATGGAAGGTGTAGGCTTTAATGTTGAAACCACAGGCTAAATGGGTGCAAACACAGCGGTCAAGAAAGGGAAAATTGGGCCTGGTACAGCCTTGCTCGCACCAGGATCTCATATGGACGTTGGTTCATATCCTGGCTGCTCCACTTCCCATCCAGCTCCCTGCCTGTGGCCTGGGAAAGCAGTCAAGGATGGCCCAAAGCTTTGGGACCCTACACCCGTGTGAGAGACCGGGAAGAAGCTCCTGGCTCCAGATTGACTCAGCTCTGGCCATTGAGGCCACACGGGGAGCGAATCTGTGGGTGGAAGATATTCCCATCTTTCCTCCTCTCTGTATATCTGACTTTCCAATAAAAATAAAACAAATCTTGGAAAAGGTGGGGGAAATTTGCCACTTTGTCCTTTAATGGTCTGGTTCAGTTACTAAATGGACATGGGTAAATTGTCGATTTAACCAGAGGGATCCAAAAACTTACAATCTTTTTTATTTTTTGAGGTAAAGATTCTTAATATTTAAGATGAAGGAAAGACCTGGGATAGCCATAGCAAATCACACTGAGCATAGGAAAAGGGGGTTTGGGTGTATTTTTCATTAACCTGGAAGAATCAATGGGTTCAAGTTACAAGAAGTCAGACTCTTGTCAATGAGGAAGTTCAAACATTTGGAATAATGGAAGAGGGAACATTCTGAGGATGCAGAAGCTGGACTTCCTTGGTCTGAAATGCTGTCCAAAAGAAGTCACGTCTTGAGGGTTAAACTAGACAACCGTTAAGGTCTTCCCAACCAGGAGACGTCACTGAGACAGCAGGCACCAAGCAGCCAACAGTCTCTTGTTGTTGAAGTCTCCAATTCCGTGTTAAGGCAGGACAACAGACATAGAAGGAAGAAACAGATGTACTCATACACAAAAGGAAGTGAGTACCTTAAATAGAAGATAACCTTTTGGTCTATTTACAGTCTTTCAAATGTACAAGCAGACTGGTTTCTTGATAAATCTAATAAACTGAATGAAGCAGAAGTTCAAAAATTAACAGCCACAATAGTTTATTTACAATTCAACTCTTTATAAGATATTTACAAGACAACCAATTTTACACATCAGAAATGGTATCAAAAGTATGAATTACAACACAGACAACAATATGAAATGGGCATAAAACAAAGCTGAAGTAGACAGACAAGCAATTTTTTTTTTTAATTTATTAACACTAGCTTAAACTTTGTTAAAGAAAGAAACAAAGGACTATGTTTTAGGAGAACTGCAGGGCTTTCAGTTGAAGACTGGATTTCACAGTGTTGTATCCCATGTAGGGAAAAATAAGACAAATTTTCCCCTCACACACTAACACACTGTAATTTTGCTCTTACTTTGCTTCAACCTCCTCAACAGACCTCAACAATATTCAAAATCAAAGCAGAACTGATCTAGACGAGGGGACACTAAAACAAGAGGTCCTTAGGGGGATGCAGAACCAAGGAAACGGAATCCACGTAAGTCTGGCCAGATAGCACCTCATGGATTCCTCTCAGCCTAGCTCAAGTACAGTATCTGGGGAGTCCCCTGCATAGGACACAAACAGGTTAAATTCGCTAGCCCACAGCCAATACTCAGAATCTGACAAACGCTTAAACCAAGCAAAAACAGAGGGATCAAGGAACAAAATAAAGACACTGATTGGGGTGTTTTTTCTTTCTGGGCATGTTATGAAGGAACATAACAACTTAGGTAAGAGTAGGAGAGTTAATCAGCTTGCCACGTTAAAATGATGGAGAACAAAGAAAAGCTGGCCCAGTTTTTCTAGAAATCTCCTCAAGGTGTGAGATGAGAGCCCCTAGTGGAGTAAGTCCTATTTCTCTCTATATCCTTGCTGTGATGAAGTTTACAGCAGGTTCCCTTATAGAGACCCCACTCTCCTAAGCAAATGGAGTTAACAAATGAAAACCCATAGCCAAACACACATATTCACACACACACACATACTGAGAGAGAGAAATAAAAGCAACAAGATCATCCAATACTACATGTGCTGCCAGAATACTTTCTTTCAAAGTCAAACACAGGGAGCACAGATCAGCATCTCACAAAAAGCTTAAGCAGTGGGAAGCCCCTGAGGAACTTCTCTTCCCACAATGGTGTCCCATCCTCTGTCACGCTCCACTCGTGGGCCAAACACACACCCTACATACCTTGGCTTCTCCTCTAAAAGTGCTAATACTCTGGGGACATACTCTGCAAGGATAAAAGTCCCTATCTTCTAGGAGATTAGACCTCCTCATTTTCACACAGTTGTCCTGAAGACTAGTGAAAGGCATTTCCTATGTATTTGAGACCATAACCCTTGGCTCTGTTTTCCTTCTAGATAGTTAACAGGGATCTTTCAGAGACCAAAGTGGCCTGGGAGTGCTGTCCTGAAATTGTTTCTTAAACAAAATGGGGGCAGGGAAGGGGGACCAAAATGGCACACTTACAAAATCATTTTTCCAAAGTGAATGGAGAAGTGTGTTAGGTACATTTGCTTCAAAACAGACATTTGCCAGCCAAAGGACCAATGTTTCCTCCTCCCTCTCAACCTGTCTCACCACCCAGAGCTCTGAAAATGATAATCCTTGAGAAGCGATGTGACACATGGACACCTACCTACACAGGTTCTGTGGCATGCATTTCTGAGTGCCAACTGCCCGTTTAGCACTATAACCTTTCTGAGACTAATCATCCCCACTGTATTCTCCAAAAATTTTATTTTCTGAAAGGTGGAGAAATAATTCAGTTATCCATTAACTAAGAAAATAATCACAAACACCCCTTCCCACATGGGTATATCAGAGAATAATCTTCAGAGAAAACCTGGCTTTTCAGATATTCATCTAACAACAATCTCCTTTCTACTCTGAAGACTAACTTTCTTCATCACTTCAGCTGTTACTCCTGATCTGGTCCTAAAGCTCATGGTGAGGTTCTTTTGTTTCGTTTTATTTTAGGGTAAAAACTACTATATCCCAACGATGAGGTAAGCATTCCAAGGTGAAGAGTGCCACGCAGGCACACTCCAGCAGCAAGGGTTGCTTCATCTTTGATGTGTTCCCTGGAGACAGCCACTCTACCGCTTCAACAAATGTAAAGAAGCAGACCCTGAAACTTCCAAATCTGCTATTATGCAAATTTTACTTGAGAGTTCATTTTCCCACAAAGGGAAAAGAAATCCCAATCATCTTCCATAATTCACAATTAGTCCAATGAAAGTTCTGGTGAAATCAGAGTGACGAAAAAACAAAACAAACTCAAGGGGGTATGGAAGGGCATTACCAGCGAATGACAACGCATAGGACACAGGTCACATACACAGGTCTCTGCCACTCTCTGGGAATGGCATGCTACAACTATCTGAAGACAGGGCTCGTTCTTGCCAGCACAGCTATTTCCTACACGTCCGGTGAGGTGTTTGCTTCTTCTGGATCTCCAACCTGCATCGACTACGCTCATCCAACCAGGGCAGCTCAAAATTCCTGGCAAAAAAAAAAAAAAAAAAAAAAAGACGAGGAAATCAACTTGTAAGACTAAAAGAGACTCGGTGTGAATGTTAACTGTGACTCCACAAAACTCACCATTACTAATCCCTGATTCCCAAGTTCCCAGTTTGGAGGGTCTTTTCTGCCTCTAAGTCAAACCACAGTCAATAATTTAGAAACAAAGCAAAATAATTATCTATCTGTAATCTAAACAAAACAAAACAAAAAAATCCTAATTCCTAGAATGGGAATCTTAGCACCAAAACTGATCACCCAGGTAGCTTCATTCTGTCAAAGAATCAAGGCTACCTCTAAGCCACTTGGTTCCAATTAGTATCTAGACTTTTGTGAAATCTAAAAGGGAGGTTCCTGTTACCTGAAAAGAGCAGAAAATAACTCATACTTACTGTGGAGTTAATTTTGGTAATGGTCGTCCAAATGCTACAACAGGCAAGAAGGGGGTAATCATCAAACTTTCAACTATGGAAGAAAGTCAAAGGGGACCTTGTTAGTGATACAGATGGGAAATGTCCAGTAATTACAGCACCCCAATTCATTCAGAGAAAACTGTATCCTGGAGCCGGTATGTATGCTTTTTTTTTTTTTAAATCCACTTTTTAAGTAGGCAAAACTTACCATCATCTGGCTCAGGGAAAAATGAGGTAACCTCAGGCTCAGATTCCTGAATTCCTTTCTTTTTATACATTCTGAGCTGCAGTCGCTGTAAAATTCTTTGTTCCCTGATCCTCTGAATATCCCATCTGGGGAAAACCAGACAAAGAAAACAAATCCAATATTACTGCTTACCCAAAACCTGTCCCATAAAACCAACTCACACAATCCAGACTCCTCTGGAAAGGGTAACAAAAACTGACTTGCTGGTTAGGGCAGAGCTGCTCAGGTGCAGCAGTCCAGATCCAACGTGGGTAGTTCCACATGGAGTGGAAGCAAGGAAACGCACAAATGAGGAAAAAGAGATCAAATATCTCTACCTACAGCAAATATCAACCAACGGAGAAGTAGTTGACTTAAGAGCTCTGGGATTCTCCACAAGATGGAAACGGGCTGTTGTTCCCAGGATGGAGGGACATTTTTAGCCTCACCTTTTCCTTCTCTTCTCATCCAACTCCAGTTTTGCATGCCTCTTTGAAAACACACTGTCATCCAGGTTCTGTGTAAAGAATAGCAGATCATAAACTATTTATCACTGTTTGCCCACATTCACTAACTGCGAGCTCCCAGAAATGTAAAAGTTTTCACCTTCAGATTCTGAGTCTGGTGGTTCCTTGGGTATCTTAATTTTTGAGTAACAGAATCAACAAAAAACATGCTCCTTTCACCACTCCCACCCTCTAAGAATCTTCAAATTCAAAATAATTTCCAAGGTGAAAGATCAAACAGAAATAATCTTGGCATTTACTATAAACCATTGCTATTTTCATATTTTCGGAAAAAACGATTGTAAAATAAAACACACACCTTTTAAGAGTCAAATGAGTTTGGAACATATAACTATGTTGCTGAATGGCATACACTAACTTTTCTACTTACAAGAGACTGACCTGTTTTGAACACTACCACTACCTGATTATTATTTCAACCATTTAACCGTTCCAGATCTGAGTTTTCTCCCATATAAAATGAAGGTAGCTGGCAGTCTAGTAATTAAGACATCTATGTCCCCATCAGAGTACTTGGATTTAATACCTGACTCTGCCTTCTGACTCCAGCCTCTGCAAATACAGACCCCAAGGAGCTGGGTCCCTGCAATTCATGTGGTAGACTTGGATTGTGTTCCTGGCTTCAGCCCCGACTGGGGACTACTGTAGGCATTGGGGGAGTGAACCAATAGATGGATGAGATTATTCTCTCTTCCTCTCTCTCTTAAATAAATAAATAAAAACCAGTTGGATTAGATAATCAAGTTGCTTGCTGGCCTCAAAGTTGCATTTAACCTGTCCACAGGATCCTGTTATTTTCCAGTCACACACCCCTCTATTCTATTCAATTTCTCATTCCCTTCCATTGATATCTTTTGGATACCTACCTCCAGAAGGTCTGAAGGATTTGGGTCCCTTAGAGGCTCTACTGGGTGGTCCCTCCAAGAAGGAACTGAAAAAAAGAGAAAAAGAACAAGAGAGGGAGGAGGGGGTGGAGCCACCTTTAAATCCAAAGTTGAACAACCTTCCAGCTATTCACTAGGTCAAGAGGTCTCTCCCCAGAAAGACAGAGTTACCAAGTGAAATGAATCCAATCTATGGCCTCACCTGAAGCCATTTTCAGTGTCCTTGCTATGGTATTAAACAACCTAAAATGCCACTGAAGTCTGCCAAACTCAGGATCGCAAAAAAAAAAAAGCCCTAAGCCAATACCTGACAATTCATAAATGGATGCTATTGAAGTTCCTGAAAAACAACTGAAATGTGTTGTCATTTGGAAGGCTATGGGAGTGTCATTGATCACTCACTCTCCCACATCCATCCAGCGGATGGGGAATGCAGCTCCCAACCGTCCGCCATCCCACCTACCCCCATCCCAGGCCCAGCCAGCACAGCTCCTATTCTACTCACCAGCCAAGACTGAAGTTTCTCCTGCAACACTTGATGGCATCAGACACCCTAAATAATGCAGGAAAGAAGAATCATCTCAGTGTAAAAAAGAAAAAAAGCCCATACCCAAAATGGAGGAAAGGATCATCATTGAAGTTCTCACTAGGAAGCCATTTTGTTTTTTGAGTCCTTCTATTGAGAATTTCTCTCTGGGGGGAGGGGCAGAGGGAACAACAGACAAAAGAAAAGAAAATAAGCCCACCACATTTTTTTTTTTACACTGAGACGACTTCTTTTCTTCATTATTTAGGGTGGTTTCCCTGCAACAGCTGATGGCCAAGGATATCAAACCTTAAACTCAGAACATGGCAGGTGAGTAAAAGTTGACCCTATTTTTCAAATAAAATATCAGTGTTCTCAAAACTTACATATGAAGTCTTCTTTAACAGCTCCCTCCTCCCTCCAAACAAACTACCTTGCTGGTCCAGCCTGAACAACATGCACAAAGACTTTGGCTTCCTTAGACTAAGCCATTAAGATTTCCTCTTGAGATAGGGGCATCAAGAATTAGGATCCACACGTTCATCCACAACTCAGGCTCCACAAGGGGCTGGGTGCTACCCAGTCAGACTCATTCGGACAATTATGCCCACAAATCTCAGAGGTATTTGGAATTTTCTGTGCTAGGGCAGACAGTTTTCAAAAACAGCCAGTCACACAGAACAGGTCTGGACCAAGCCATTTCCCAATCCCGGATGGGAAGTTGCTTCATGGTTTCTCTCAAGATGTTACACAGCATTGCCATGGCAGCAAAAAGGTTAAGCACATGAAGGATGAACTTGTTCAAATGACTGAACCAACAAAAAATCTGAATATAGATCAGGATCCTGGTCTATCTCATGTACTCAAAGGTGAGGCCAGATGAATCTTAGATAATTAAGAAGAGTAATCTATCTCTGCCACTTAGTTGTATCACCAGAAGAGCCAAACAAAGCCTGGAAAATGCTCTTGTCTTATTGGAATGGATTCCCATCCCTGTTAAGGCAAGACACAGTGATAGAAACGTGGGGCTGCAGCTCGATCCAAGAAGGCTTTCCCCATTAGCCCAGAACACCCACAGTGACTGTCATAGACTAATAGATGATGGAAGGCACACTCCAGTTACGGGTTGATGTAGGAGATAGGGGAGCATCTCTGTGTAGAAGCCATAAAGAAAAAAAAAAAAAGAAAAAAAAAGGTGGGGGAGAAATGACCAAGGTCCCACACCCCATACCCTCCCCAAGCAGCTCAGATATCCCAAGATAGTCCTTATTGTTTGAAAAATAGTTTGTAGACCATTTTATTTAAATATATGAACAACCAATGGGCTACTGCAATCCAAGTGAACTCTCCACATTTTAGAACCTGTGTGAAGTATAGGAAGATAAAGTAAGACTGTTGGTCTTTGGCAGATTCCTCCTGCCCCCCAGACCGGGACATAGAGATACAGATAAATGTTTATATAGTTAAAGAGCGGAGGCCCAAGTGAACTTCCCCACCCGAAGCTGGCTCCCCAACCCAAAAATAATCATTGGCCCCTGAGAACACCCAAAGACCACCCTCCCAGGTTTCACACAGTATCAATTGCAGGAACAGTCGTGCACGGCAAAGTGTAAGTTCTATGCATTTCATAGCACAGAAAACCCTTCTTTCAGAGGGCATGCAAGTTGCCGGAGAATACACACCCCCCCAAGTCTGGTGCTCTTGTGATGAGCAACTTACTGGCAAACACATCTCCCAGTGTTGTAAGCAGGCAAAACACATTGAGCACATTTTGCTGTAATTCCATCTATTTGCAATGCCTGCACAGTGTCTGTCTCTGGCTGTTAACTTACTCATTCTTGACAGAACTCTGCTTTATTGATTGCACTTTTTAAAAATGCCAAAGGCATTTTCACACTTGTTAGCTTGACCGCCACCACTAGGGTATAAGAGCAAGTGTTCTCTATGCCTTACTTGCTACAGTCTCCTCCTTCTTTGGAGAGGATTCCCGTAATGGTAACGGTGATGGGGGAGGCTGGTGCCAACGACACAAATACATTTCTGTGGTGGAAAGGTACGGCAAATCTTCTATCTCACTTGAGAAGGCTTTCTCCTTGGGATGGGCGCTGGATCCCTTCTGGGGAGTGGAGAGTCTTGGTGGGGTGTCCACTGAAGACCGGGGCTTTTCTGGGGTTTCTTGGCTCCTCAATTCACGTCTACAAACAGTTTCTGATAAGGAACCACAGGGTTCCTCTTTAATGGGAGAGTGCTTAGGAGTTTTTGTTTTGACTTTTGAAAATTCAGGAGCCAGCTTTTTAACAGGAGTCTTTCTTTCTGTACTTCCAAATGGGGATTTCCTATTAGATAGGGAAGAAAACATTATAAAAACTTATTCACTCTTACACAAAACCTGATATGAGTACATTTAAGGACAAGAGGGCTGATTCGCTCTCTTGTTCCACATTAGTAGTATTCAGATACCTGAAATAAGCGGTGCTCATCTGGAAATCATCAGACAGCTCATGCTCAAGAGTGTTCAGAATACGACCTTCTTAGTCAACATTTGCTGAATCGATTTCCATGCTTAAGAATCCCTAGCAGTATTTGTAGTTTGCTAGATTTAAAGATTCCTGTTGTATTCAACACTTTAACCAACACCACTCTGTGCCACCTATTTCACTGTCAGCCGGACATCGCTCTAGTTTGCCTCCCACCTTTGTACCATGCTAGTTACAACCTCCTAGCTGCCTGCTGCTGACTCTCCTGCCTCTGCCCAGATACCACCTCCTTGCCACCCCACCAACCTAAATTCTATGACTGTTTTTCAAGATCCCTCTCTTTCTTAAAATTTCACAGTACTAACAATATTTTTTAATATCCCTGAATCTTACAAAATTCCATTTGCACCTGTGTCATGTATCTGCATGTCTCAATGCTTTTGAATTCTGAGTTTTCAAAACTTAATGCCCATCCTTACAGTCTAACTTCTTTCATTTCAAATTCTGTATTTTTCTACTGGTGCCTACCACAGCACTTCATATCTCCTAACTTGAAGCAAACTGCTCTGGTCTGAAACTCGGTCACATTTGTTGCCCATTCTTTTCATGATGTATTCCACATTCTATAAACACTATTGTGACCAAGCTGTTAGTTCCTAACAGACTTTTATAGGCTGCTCAAGAATTCTCAGATGAATGAGAATTTGTAATTCAGGCTATGGTCACTATAAAATCCAATCCTAAGTCCCAGGCCCTTCCTTGCAATCATCAGTAACCAGTGTCCACAGTGTAACAGTCATCAGCACACCTTTTGTGTCCCTTTCCACTCCGCCCGCATGAGAAGGGCTTGGGAGGCAGAGTCTGGGATGTCTCAGAAAGCTCCGGCTGGCACTCCAGTTTAATTTTCTCAGATAGCTCTGCTTCCTCTCTCTCTTCAGTCTCATAGCCCTGAAACAGCTTGTGCCTTTCTTTCTCGTTATCCTTCTTTACCAGCTGCATCCGCCTTTCCATGCGTTCAATCCGAGCAAGGAGCTAAAAGAGAGTGGCAAAATGTAAACTTAAAACACAAAAAATTAAATGTAGGTACTTGGCCCCATTTAATATAATCAGTACAGTCCTCCGTCTCTCTGTGGATTACATTAACCCAACTCATTTCTTACTGGCAGACTTTAGGCTGAAAATCTTTACTTTAAATATACTGGGGAAAACAAGGTACATCTTTTAAACCTAGATGGCAAGGGACAATATTGGGGAATGAGTTTCTTCTGAAAGATTCTCTCCACCAAGAGGGCCCATACAGAAATTTTAAGGACAGCATCTCTGCTACTGCTAACATGTGGGAGCTGGGAGTTTCCAGAATTAACCTTACATACCCTGCATACTTTTTTGAGAGTCCCTAGGGCTGTCCAAATCCTAACCTCTCTACTTCTATTCAAAAACTATACATGATCGTGACAAGGTCAAAACAGTATACCAGGAGGTAATCAAGAGTTCCTACAGTAACATTACGAATGGCAGTGTTATTTTAAAGGGTTGTATGTGCGCAGGCATGGTGGGGTTACTTCCGAAACAATGAGCATCCATTTGAAAAATGGCCCACAAACCTCAACAATCATGACATATACCTATCCCTTCACGTTTTAGATAACAGAAAAACTTATACCTATTTGTTTAAATATTAATGAAAATCGAAGTCCTTTAATTCTAATTAAAAGGGAGGGCTACCTAATGAAACAGAAAATGGAGGTCTAATATGGAAAACTTCAGAATTAATTTAGTTTTGAGGAAAGGTGCCAATTGTGCTACTTGGACTCTACAAGAGTTCTATCTGGGTTAGGCAGTGATATTAATGCTGCCTTAATTACATGTATTACATAGATTTCAGTTGAGACCAAACAACCGGAATAAGAGAAAACAAGTAAGCAACACTTAAGCCTGCAATACACAACACAAGCAGTGAATGCCAAGTTCACCCTGACACACCATCCTTCACTCACCCCAGTTTTCTTACCCAGAAAAGCCTGCCAAAAGGGGCATGACCTCAAGAACTGAACAGAAGCCTCCACATTGAGCAGAGACGTCTCTGTCAGCCATCCTCTCGCTTCATCTCCTTACATCTGGTTTGATTCACAGTCTTAGCACTATTTCACCACGGGCTGTGGTTGACATTTCCTTGATTTCTTCTCCTTTACTGGTCTCACCCCTCAACACCATGTATGGAGGTGATCTGTTGTAATTACAGTACCCTCGCTCCCCCAGACTGCAGTACAGTAGCTGAGCAGGGCACCTCCATGTTGAGTAACTTCCACAAATCAACACCCTGACATATTTTCAGGAGCCCTTCTCCAGGTCCCAGCCCACCTTGCTGAACGGATTTGCCAGGAAAACAGCCACCTGATGCGATTCATTTAAAAAGCAAACACAGTGAATAAACCTCAGCTCCCTTGCTCAGTCCTTGACAAGAGAGAGAGAGAAAGACAGAGAAAGATATCGCTGCAGCCTGAATACAATTGTAGAAACCGAGTTTATTTTTAGGCAGCTGTAAGGTAGGAAAGCACAAATAATAACCCACCACCTCAGCGTCCCTGATATCCAAAGGAACATGTCTTCACGCAGAGGTGCCCTTAACCACCGCTGCAGCACAACACAAGCCTGCGGATTCACACTCCTCAGAAGTAGACAAAATAAGAAACAACCTCCACACTACCTCAGGATTCTAAAGCAAGGATTTGGTGTGTGCTGCGGGGAGCTTGTACTTAACACATTCGATAAACCGACTTTCCCCACAGTCCTTAAAAAAAAAAAAAACCTTCCCGCTTCACACTCTGAGGCACCTGCATATGTTTTCCACCTTAGATGACTACTAGAAACTGTCAGGGAGCCAAGACAGCGCTCTTACAGCACTAAATTGCCATTCCACAGCCATCACCTCCATCCTTCCGCCCGCCACAAGGCCTCCGGCCCTCCTAGCTGAAGATGTTGCAGCGGCGCCTACAGCAACAGCTGCTAAGCCCCTCTCCTCCACAAGGAATTTCCAACACAACAGCTCTTGAACCATTCCACAAAGCTACCACCGAGGCACAGCACCCTTGCATTTTTGAACCTCTCGCACACCAGGTCGTCTTCTACGCTATACAGTCTTTCCCAGAAGTCTCGAGCTGTCATTTTAAATTAACCCTTTGGCCCCTGGGCCTCCCCTCCCCCACCCCACCCTCTCGCTGGGAGCTTGCCCTTTAACCCTTCCCTCCAAGCCAACGAGTGGGCGAGCCGGGCTCCCAACGACCCAGCACCTATGACACCCCTAGGCTGGGAGCCAAGCTCCCCTGACCCCTTAACCGAGGGGGTACACCTGGGCTTCCTCCAGCAACCCCCCCCCCTCCTTCGTCCGGGCATGCGCACAACTCGCTCCTCGTCCCGAAAGCAGATTAACCCCTCCCGTACCGTGTCTCTCTCGGCCTTGAGCTCCTCGATCTCCTTTTCCTTGGCCTGCAGCTGCTGCTGCTGCTGCTCAATGAGGTCCAATTGCAGTAGAAGGATCTGTTTGAGGCAGGCGGCCTGACTGGAGGCTCCCGAGCCGCCGCCACCTCCGAGAGGGCTCTTCCTCACACTCTTCCATCGGCCCTCGCTGGCCGCCAGGCTCCCGGCGGTGGCGGTGGGTGCCAGAGGTGGAGGCCCGGGCAGAGGTAGTGGGGGGGGTCCCGTCGGGTCCGAGGCGGTGGCAGCTGGAGAAGCCGCCCCACCCTTGTCCCCAGCCCAGGGCGTAGGCTCTTTGGCCGCCGCCACGAGAGAGCCCGTCTGAATGGGCAAGACTGCCTGATACTTGGGCCGGGGGCTGCAGCCGCCTCCGGCCGCGGCTGGCTCCCCGCCAATGCCGGCTTGCTTGGTGGCTGGGGGCGGACAGGGCAAGGGCACCGAACCGCCCCAGCTCTCTTCCTGCTGCCCAGGGGCCGCCCCGGCCGGCAGTAACAAGCCCCGGCCCTTGCCGCCGCAGCCGGCCGGGGAGGGCGCGGGACTCCCGCCCTGGGCGGAGGCCAGCGGGGGCCCCGGCTCCTTGAGCTTACGGTGCCGGGGGAGGAAGTGGGCTTCGGCCGCCCCGGGCTCGTCCTCGGGGCCGCCCAGCGCCGCAGCCCGCTCGTAGTCCAGTCGCTGCTCAGGGTTGCCGCCGGCGGGCGCCGCGGCCGCCTTGAACACTGCGGATCTCATGGTCATAGTGGTCCGGAGCAGCGCCGGGGACCGAGACGGAGTAGGGGGTGGGGAAGGGGCGAGGTGCGGGGGGTCGAGGACGGAGGAGGGGGAGGGGAGTTTGGCGGGCTCGCCTCAGCAGCGCGGCAGCAGGCCTCCGCTAGCGCGGCTCCTCCGGGGCCTGGGCGCCATCCCGCCGGCGTGCGGAGAAGTGGAGGCCGCGGCTGAGGCCCGCCGCCGGCCCATGGGGGCCTCGCCGCCGCCTCTGCTGCCGCCGCCGCCTTCGCCTCAGAGGCAGGAGCTCGCACCCAGCCGCCCCCGAGCTCATCCCCGGAGCTCGCTTTCGGCCCCCCCTGGCCCGGCCGGGCCCGCCTCGTCTCCCCACCCCACACCCCCCTTCCCCGCCCCGGCCCCCCGCCCCGGAGCTCGCCTCAGCCGCCCCGAGCCTCCATTTTTCCCCCCCTTTCCTCCTCAGAAGGGGGTGGGAGGGATGAGTCCGCCCAAAGCCCTCCTACTCCGGGAGGGGGCCCCTCTGTCGCCACCCCTGGGGGGGGTCTCTGCAGCTCGGGGTCCCCCTCCCCCACAGTCACCCCCAGTGCTTCAGCGTTTCCCTTTAAAAAAACGGAGCCGCTCGGAGCCGCCACCGCCGCAGCCGCCGCCGGCCGGAGAGCGCACGCGCCACGAGGGAAGCGGGCGGGAGCGCCCCGGGAGCGGCGAGGAGGGAGGCGGGCCGCGCTATTGTGAAAGGGGCTGCGGCCGCCTCGTGGGGGGCGGGGAAGGGGCCTGGGGGCCGGCGAGGGGAGGCGGGAGACGAGGGGGCAAGGACCGAGGAGCGCGCGCGGAGGAGCGGGGTGAAGGTGGGCTGCCGAGGGAGGGGCGAGCGGGAGAGGGTCAGGAAGAAACAAGGGCGAGGGCGGCCGAGGGGAGCTGGGGAATGCGGAGGCGCCCCGGGAGACAGCCGCGGGAGAGCAGGGGGTAGGGAGGGAGGGAGGGAGGAAGGGAGGAAGAAGGCTGCAGAAGGCAGAGGCGCCCTTGGTGGCAGCCCTTTCTGGAGCACCTTGGCCACGCACGCGGCCCGCGCCGGCCCCGGCTCCCCGCACGCCTCCTGGACCAGTCAGGATCCTGGCTGCCCTGACTGGCTCTGGTGGCATAGAATTCTGACCCCGCCACCTCAGTGCTCCCCGCAGCCCCACACTGGCGTGGGAGAGAATGAAGTTCTTTGTCTCTGAGGATCTGGACCAGAAACTAGGAACTTGTAGTCCCCGGAGCGGGGCAGACCCGCCGAGTCTGCTGCCCAGGGAGTTGTTGCCACAGCCTCCTTGGCAGGAGGTGGTGCCAACTGCACAGAGTTCCCTCCTGCAGGCTGTCCGCCAGCTACTCGAGGCCTGTTCTGGAAGGGGTTCATGGAGGAAATCTCTGGAAGTTGGAGGGACTTCGGTCTTTGCAGGGGAATAGGAATACTTCAGGCCATTCTCTGCAGAGCATTTCCTCCTATTGTTCCGTGTTCATTTTATGGCCCAGCAACTTTAGCCAACAAGTGCTCACTGAATTTCTCCCTCAAAGAAGTTTGAGTTAAGCCTTAATTGTTTTTCTTTTCTGTCCGAGGTGTGTTTTTGTAAAACAAATGGAGATGGAGAAGACCAACATTCTGTGGTCCGGTGTAAAAAACTTATAATTAAAACTGTGTCTCTATCTTCAACAAAATGGGTGTTAGTGTATGCAGAAGCCAAGAGGACTCCAGCCCTCTTCCATCCACTGTTCACTCCCTACAGCAGCTGGGGCTAGGGCTGGGCCAGTTCAAAGCATGGACCTTCCTGTGGGGTCTCCCATGTGGGTACAGGGGGCCCAAGCACTTGGCCAGATACACCAGGGAGTTGGATTGGAGTGTGGCAGTATGGCATATCAGGCAGAGGTTTAGCTCCATATTGCCAACTCCCAAATTTTAAATCCTTCCTGAACTCAACCCAATTCCAAAGTTTCCAATTGCTGAGCATTCAGATGCAACTGGACATCTAAAAAGTCTTTTTTTCAAACTTATAAAATTGTCCCCACCCAAATCCTACTTCTACTTCTTTCCCTGCCACCCTATAACCTGTTCATGCATCCTACTGTCCTTCACTATGTCTATGGGAAATCCTACGCATGGCCAACACCACAACTTCCACTTTAGTGTAAGACACATTTAAATTGCAGTTCCCTTGTAATTGGGCTCTATGTTTCAACCTTTGTGATCTACTTAAGTTGGCTCTCAGCGGCCATATGGATTGGGTGAAATGTGCACGATGTGATCAGATGCTCTGCTCAAAACCCCTTACTGGCTTCCCGAGAGTCCTGGGAATGACCTGTAGGATCCACCCCATCCACCAGCGCTGCTGTGACGCCTGGGCCTCCAGCTCCTGCCTCAGGCCCCACTGTCTTTGTGTCCTCATGCATGTGTCTGCTTGGGGCCTTCCACATGTTCTCCCCTCCACTTGGATTCTTTTTCAAACTTAATATATCCACCGAACTTTCCCCCTCATTTCTGAATGCTCTTTTCTAAAATGTCATCCTTTCAGTGATACGATTTGGTCACACCAATGGAAGAAGCTCTCAACCCCTTCCAAATTCTCTTCCCCTTTTTGGCTTTATCTTTCTCCATGGAATTCACTACTGACTCAGCAGTTCACTTTGTTCATGGTCCTTCCCAACTAGAGTCCTATTTTGCTTTAATGCTCTGGCCTCATTTTCTAAAACCACACAGTGGCATCAAGCTGGCATCTGTTAAGTACTCACGATTGAAAGACAAATGAGGACCTGCTACAATAGTTCAACAGCTAAATCCTCACCTTGCAAGCACCAGCATTCCATATGGATGTCCATTCGTGTCCCAGCTACCTCACTTCTCATCTAGCTCCCTCCTTGTGGCCTGGGAAAGCAGAAGATGGCCCAAAACCTTGGCACCTCTGCACCCCCATTGGAAACGTAGAGAAAGCTCCTGGTTTTGGACCAACTTAGCTCCGGCCACCACTGTGGCCATTTAGGAAGTGAATCAGTGGATGGAAGATCTTTGTCTCTCCTTATCTCTGCAAATCAATCTTTCCAATAAAAAAAGAAATTTTAAGTAAATTAATCTTTAAAAAGACTAAATGAGCTATCCAGCTATAGTAAAAAAGCATCTACCCTCAACCTTTAGCTTGGTTGAGGTTGGCAGCCATGTAATACTAATGGTATATATTTTTAAAAAATAGTGAAACCTGGGCCCAGCACAGTGGCCTTGCAAGCGCCAGAATCCCATATGGCCGCTGCATCATGTCCAACTACTCCACTGCCCATCTAGCTCCCTGCTTGTGGCCTGGAAAATCAGTGGAGGACAGCCCAAACCCTGGGGACCCTACACCTGTGTGGGAGACCCAGGGGAAGCTCCTGGCTCCCACGGCAGCCATTTGGGGAGTGAACAAGTGGATAGAAAATCTGTCTCTCCTTCCACCATATGAACCATCCTTGACTACTTTCCGAGGCCCTTGGCAGGGATCTGGATGGGAAGCAGGGCCTCCAGGATTAGAACCGGCACCCATATGGAATCCTGCCACATGCAAGGTGAGGATTTTAGCTACTAGGCTACTGTGCTGGACCTGAAATACATTTTTTCAAATTTCAAAGTATTTAAACATTTTTTGGCTTACGGGACATACAAACAAGCTGTTGGACTTCAAGTTTGTCAAGCCCCAGTCTAAAGACTGAGCCCAAATTGGAGAGTCTAGGACAAAATTAACTGTAAAAAAAAAAAAAAAAAAGCCACCATATAGTACTCAGGTGAGTCCCTAGAAGGTGGCTGTGGACTGTTATTAATTCTGAGCTTACAAATTTCTATTTGTGGTCCCGGCGGCGTGGCCTAGCAGCTAAAGTCCTTGCCTTGAACACCCCAGGATCCCATACGGGCGCCGGTTCTAATCCTGGCAGCTCCACTTCCCATCCAGCTCCCTGTTTGTGGCTTGGGAAAGCAGCCGAGAACAGCCCAAAGCCTTGGGACCCTGCACCCATGTGGGAGACCAGGAAGAAGCTCCTGGATCCTGGCTTCGGATCAGCATAGCATTGGCCGTTGCGCTCACTTGGGGAGTGAATCATCGGATGGAAGATCTTCCTCTCTGTCTCTCCTCCTCTCTGTATATCTGACTTTCCAATAAATAAATAAATCTTTAAAAAAAAAACAAAACGAATTCTTATTTGTGCATATCAAAGCCTTATTTTGTGAAAATGGCAGTGACAGTTAACAGCATTTGGTAGTAATAGTTTTTAAATGTGCTTACTAGCAAAATTAAAAGCTGGCAGTTTCATCAGTCCACACACTCTCCCCCTTGGCAAATTGACAGCGCAGGGATCCCACTACTAGGATCTCACTACTTCAGACTAAGTAAACACAGTTTTCTCCCCCCATGAGACAAGGCTGGAATTGAGTTGAAGGTCTCATCTTGATCTTAGTTCACAAGGTAAACCACCAGAAAACCCACACTTGAGATCTTCTAAGAAGGAAAGAAAATTCTTGCTTCCCAACCATTAGGTTGTAAACTCTGGTGATCCAGGATGGTATCTGGGGTGAGGGCCAAGCAGAAGGTAGAGTTGCTAGCTGTGAAGGAACCTAGGGGGCAAAAAAAAAAAAAAAAAAAAACACCAGGATGCATAAATCAAGTCCCAAACAGTTGTCTGCTTTGTCCTTAGTGGGATAACGACCCGATCCTTTTGCAAGGGTACAGAGTTAAGCACTCACCGTGCCTCCACTGCTGACTAGGAGGGGCAGAATTTCATTTCCATAACACAAAGCCCACGGTATGGGAAGGGAAGCTGCAAGCCTTTTCACCGGGTCCCCTCCAGCTCCCTGTGCAGCAGCTTTTCCCCCACTAACCTTGGCACAGAACTAGGTAAGATAGCTCTTCTGGCTTCTCCCCCCAGAGGAAGGGCTCGTGGGGGCGGATGCTTAAGGCTAGGACTCGCCCGGATCCACGTGGCACGGAAAGCAGAGCTCCCCATGGCCCCAGCCGACCGCGGGACAGAGCCCTCCAAAGCCCCCCATGGTCCGGAGCCGACCGCGGGGCAGAGGCCTCTTCCCCACGGCTGCGGGCGATGGCTTCCGGCCCTCAAGCCCTGGGCCGGACCGGCCTGCGTTCCTCGCCGCTAGCGGAGCGCCCCAAGCCACTGGCCTCCTCCGCCGGAGGGAGGTAGGACACACCCTCCCTGCTGCCTTTTTTTTTTTTTTCTTTGTCCCTCCTCATCAATAAAACCACTGCTCAAATTTGGATCTTTCGGTCCGCCAGCCCCGCCAAAACTTCCAGCGTGCCCCGCCCACTCCACGTGGACCTCCCTTCCCGGTCCCGGCAGCCCCTGCGAGCACCCCTCCCCCGCCCCGCAGCACGTGACCGACTGTTGTGTTTCCTTCCTGGGGTTCTGGCACCAGCAAAAGACTGGACCAAAGCTCCCCCTTCAGGCTGAGTGTGGCACAGCAAGACAGGGAAATGTGGCTGCTAATGCTTGTAATGTCCAGGCCACATGGCTGCTTAATGACTAAGGAGTGCCCAAGTAAAAACGCAGACAAATTAAAAATGGATCTCTTCAGAAGAAGCTGCTTTGGGGGTGGAATTAGGTAAACTTCTCAAACCAAGGCTGCAAAGTACGATAATGCCACTTCAGCTGCGTTTCCACTAGAACTGTTGGTGATGTTAGCACGATGATCTGATCTCATGCCAAGCAAGAACTAACAGCTCCCTGATGGGACCCGTGTTGTGGTGTAGCAAGTAAAAGTACTGCCTTCAGGGCTGGAGCGGTAGCCTAGCCGCTAAAGCCCTCGCACACGCCGGGATCCTGCATGGGCTGGTTCTAATCCCGGCAGCTACGCTTCCCATCCAGACCTTTGTTTGTGACCTGAGAAGGCAGTAAACAATGGCCCAAAGTTTTGGAAAACCTTCACCTGCCTGGGAGACCTAGAAGAAGCTCCTGGCTCCTGGCTTTGGAGTGGCTCAGCTTTGGCCACTGCGGCCGCCTAGGGAGTGAACCAACAGATGGAAGATCTTTCTGTTTCTCCTTCTCTCTGTAAATCTGACTTTCAAATAAAAAAAAATAAATAAAGTATTTTTTTTTTAAAAAGAAATAAAAAAATCTCTTGGTTTTGGTTCAGTTCAGCTCTGGTCTTTGTGGCCAGTTTCAGAGTGAACCAGCAGGTAAAACATCTTTGTCTTTCCTCTGTAAATCTGCTTTTCCAATAAACACAAATAAATATTTTTAAAAATAAATCTTAAAAAATAAAATGAATGAAGCTGCTAGGACTCGAACTGACACCTGTGTGGCATGAGTGTGCTGTACTGAGTGCTGGCCGTAATAAATAAATCTTATTTTAAAAAGCTCCCTGTCAGGCCCAGCACTGTGGCTAAAGTCCTCGCCTTAAACCTGCTGGGATCCCTTATGGGCACTGGTTCTAATCCCGGCAGCTCCACTTCCTATCCAGCTCCCTGTTTGTGGCTTGGGAAAGTAGTCGAGGATGGCCCAATGCTTTGGGACCCTGCACCCACGTGGGAGACCTGGAGGATGTTCCTGTCTCCTGGCTTCAGATCGGCACAGCACCGGCCGTTGTGGTCACTTGGGGAGTGAATCATCGGATGGAAGATCTTCCTCTCTGTCTCTCCTCTCTGTATATATCTGACTTTGTAATGAAAATAAAATAAATCTTTTAAAAAAATAAAAAGTTCCCTGTGTGTGGCCACCAACGGATGGAAAATCTTTCCCTCTGTTTCTCCTCTTCGTAAATTTGACTTTCCAATAAAGAATAAATCATACCCACCCCCCCCAAAAAAAAAGTTCCCTGGGAGTCTGGCACGTAGCCTAGCAGCTAAAGTCCTCAACTTGCTCCTACCAGGATCCCATATGGGCACCAGTTCTATCCTGGCAACCCCGCTTCTCATCCACTTCCCTGTTTGTGGCTTGAGAAAGCAGTCGAGGATGGCACAAAACCTTGGGACCTTGCACCTGTGTGGGAGACCTGGAAGAAGTTCCTGGATCCTGGTTTTGGACCGGCGCAGCAGTAGCTGTTGTGGTCACTTGGAGAGTGAATCATCGGACGGAAGGTCTTCTTCTCTGTCTCTCCTTCCCTGTATATATATAAATACATAATATATATTTTTATAAAACTCTGCAATAAAAATAAATAAATCTTAAAAAAAAAAAAAAAAGGTCAAGCGAAGCCAAAACCAGAATCAGTTTCTTTAGGAAAAATTCTGACCTGGGCTTTTCCCCACACTCAAGATGGAGAGTCAATTGGCTTGGGGTGGCTGACTGGGACAAAGAGTCGTGGGCAATGCTCAGAGAAGTAGGGCACCGTTGTGTGTACAAGGAATGGTCAGTCTGAAATTAGAATTGTTGTGACAAGGTGCCATTTTCCTCCAAGGTCATAGGGGTCATGACTCATAATAACAAGGTGAGACATTTACAAGGCATGGACCCTAACAGGGATCTCGCTGTAGTCAAACACACTGCCTTGAAACGTACTAAGCAGCCATCCACTGAGTGGGAGGAGCACCTACTTTCAAGGCCGGAGGACCAAAATCAATCAAGCTAGACCGTTGAGGCCTGTGTCCAGGACACTTATTCTCCTCTAACTCGGCATCTGTCCGCGCTCCCATTACCAGGTGCTATTTCCAGAGTCCTCGGGCTGGGGGAGGAAGTGGGAGGAGCGGAAGTGGAGAGGCAGAGGGAAACCCAGTGGGCTCCTCCCCCACCACAGCTGCAGTTCTCGCTTTTAGCCACTCAGAGGCTCCCGAGCTCAACCGCAGCCCTTGAGTAAAGGGGAGAGACAGCAAGCCAGTGAACCGCCAGGGGACTGACTGCCGGATACTTCAGGAATGACCCTGAACGCAGAGGTGACCCAGGGGTCACTACTCTGGGGATGCAAACGTTGCTCGTGGCTGTTCCGGAAGGCATCCAGCCTCGGGAGATGTGTGGCACTGGGTAATAGCCGGCACCTATTGTCCTCATCCTCCTCTCTGGGGTCATTTCCTCCTTTCCCTCCCCCCACCGCAGGGTGACAGTCATTCCCAGGCCTGTGGGAGTCCCAAGGAATGGTGTCAGCTTGTCTGGGTATCAAGCTGTGGACTTCCTGGGCTTTGGGGTGGAACTTGGCTAGGGAGAAGCCCTTTGGACCGGAGAACCACCCAGTCCTGTGGAGCCTGCCCTTTTTCTGTGCTAAGCAAAAGGCCCATCTATCATTCCCTGTCTCCGACACCTAACTTCCTTCTCCCACAATGGGATTTCCTTGCCAGAACAAAACATGCACAATCGGGGGTGGGGGGGGCAGTGGTCATCCTGAACATATGGCTTCTATCGGGTGATTAGGGGAAAGCACCTATTTCAGAAATTGCCTTCTCCGTTCCAAAAGGCAAGATTCTGGAAGGAGGAATTCAATTGCTGGGATCCCAAGGTCAAGGGCTATAAATGGCAATCCTCCCCGGGGAGTTCTCAGAACCCTGGAAGCTAAAGAAACTGCAGATCTTCATACAGAGTTAAGCCTGGAAGTTCATGGGTTTCTGCATAGCTAACCCCAGCTCAGCCTCCATTTCCCTCCAATAAATCAGCTGAAGTCTGAACTCACTCCTCCACTTCAAGACCAAGAAACTCCTTCCAGCCCACTGCAGCAGACAGCTGGGTTCAGCGTGGGGAGCAGGCCAAAATCACTCCCAAATCTCCGAGATAGAGAGCAGGCCTGTCAGGGCTCTGGCTCCTCTCCAAGGGATCACTGCTTAAAAGCATGTCTGCATTTGAAGAATCTTCTGGTACTTCCCACTCTCAGGCCCCCCCAACTGAGAGTGAGCATTCAGTGCTGTGGTGCCCCCTGCCTCTCATCCCCTCCACGCCACTTTCGCAGCCTCTTCTGCCTGACATCATTCTCGCCAGAGCTGTGCCAGATTCCCAAGTTCCTGTCTTGAAACCTCAGCCCCCACACCCAGGGCCTAGGGGAAGCCCATGTAGGTCACTGCTGCTGAGCCTGCAGGGCTGTTGGCTGCTTCAGCCCAGAGCCTTTCAAGAAGGGAGAGGAGAGCTTGCAAAGACGCCAAAGAAAAAGGTGCCGTGAGAATCAGAGCAAAGCGTAGTGCAAGGAGGCAAGGAGAGGCCAAGAGTCACCCGGCCTGATTTGAGCCCCGCTGTGCAGAGTGAGGGAGGGAAAGAGGGAGGGCCAGGGCCTTCCTCCCTCCTCCCCATCCTCTCCTCTGTGCCATGTTCGTTTTTGTCTCTGCAAAAGGGAGCCCTTTGGAGCTTGCTGTGCGACCGCCCCCCCCCCCCCCATCTCCAACCCCTCTGCAAGCTCAGGAGCCTTTGGGACTGGCCTTAGAGACCCTCTGCATCCTCTGGCCACAAGCCTGTGTGTCTCCGGAAGCTGGAGCAGGCTTGACTGGCTCCGCCCTTCTCTATTGAGACTTTTCCTGCTTGTTATCTGTGAAAGTCCTTTGGCCCTGGGAACTTCCAATCCTCTAGAGCCTTGTTCCTTCACTCGGCTGAGATAGGAAGGCGTATGCCTGTTCGCGGTACTAGTTTAGTTGTTCCTGGCTATAGGCAGCTTGGGGGTCCCCATGGCCAACAAAAAATAAATAAGGGAACTGATGTCTACTTCAGTCACAATGAGTTGTTCTAACAGGAGCCCCCAGGATGGGAAGAGCACTAGATTAAGACAGAGGAAAGATCAACAATGAATATTCTAGCCTTTTTAATTTTATTTTATATTCTAGCCTTTTCTCTTCCCCCCAACAGCTCATTCTCCCACCCTTGGTGTGCCTCTTGTCCCCATTTCTAGAATCCTCACACAAGAAGCACTCAGGAAATATTTTTTTATGCTGAGTCAGAGTAAACTTGGCTATGCTCTCCAGCTGAACTTTGTTGTGTGTGTGTGTGTGTGTTTCTTCTTTCAGGATGGTTTTAAATGTACAAAACAAACATTGTGAAGTAGAAAGTGTTAGATTCGCCGCTTGCCAAAATGTTAGATTCTCTGACCACCAGGAAAATAATAACTCAGCCAAATATATGAAAATA